ATTTTCACATCATTACTGACTGTTACTTAATTTCCCACTAGTTACTGGAATATCAGTAGGAATCTTCTTCTCTCCTTTTGAAATATGTCTTTGTTGCCCAGAGACACTTCAGCTCCTCTCTGTTGCCCTTCCCCCACGCTGCCTGTCTTAGATGTATTAGGGCCCTTCATGGGACTCTGCTGTCGTTAGTCCCTGTTCAGGTCCATGTATATCTGAGGGATCTTTGCCATGTTGTGCTGGCAGACACCAGAACAGCACAGATACTCAATTTTGGCTTTCTCAATTGCTAACAGAGCCCTCTGTGCACTTGAAGGAGGCTGGTTTATATGTCTGCAAGGCCTGGTACTTACTCCAGCAGACCACAGTCATCCAGGAGTGAAAGTATGGATAGCACATATCCTTCACAGMCCCTTTTTGAGATGTCAGCCAGCTCTGTGGCAGCTCTGGAGTCTTGCAAGGTTTGAAACATGAGGAGTTAGATGTTCATGAGTACTTCTGTCAAGGCTGTTGGTCTAATAGTTGGAATTTCAGCAGTTTGGTAAGATTTTTAACTGTGTTGTGGTACAGTCTGGTGGATGTGATGCTGGTATTTCCTGGTACTTGGCAATGTTGGGTGCAGGACTGGGTTGTGCCACAGGTSTCCTTGGTGTCACATGTGTCACCAGCTCCTTCTGTGTAGGTCTCTCATCTCAGAGTGCATTTTTGTTGTTTTCTCMTGTGTTTTCCATCCTGTTCATTTATCTCCTTTGGCAGTTGTCATGGGGGCCTGATACCCATTAGTCCCTATATTTATTTAGCACTGCAAAGAAGATGTATCCTAATGTCATTCATGAACACTGTAGCAAACTGCAAATCGTTCTGGATTCTCTCAGGGTAATTATTATTAATATTATTTGGTTTTATTATTAAAATGATGCTTTGCTTTGTRTTTTGGTACTATAATGGTACATTGTTCTCCAGAATCTGTCTCCAATGATACCTSTTGGTTTGGCACAGTATAAAGAGCATGCCCTCTAATAAATTGTCTTCCTTTTTTTATTTCCAAGGTACTGCACAGATGAAAATCAGACATTTCCTCAGCCATTCATGCTGGAGAACCACATCAGCCTCATGCACGGCATCAAAAACCCAGACTTATCCCAGATGGCCAAAGCAAAAGCTCCAGAGAGAGACAGAGCAGAAGTAACTGATACCTATTTTCATGGAAAATTAAATGTGCAATTAAATGTACCTGTCCAGTAGCTGTTTATTAAGGATGTTACCTCGAGCTGCAGTTTCGTGTCAGTCAAACCCACCCATCCATAGGGCAGATTTCCTCCCCTCACTCAATTCCATCCAGCCTGATTCCCTCTGGTAGGGTCAGGGTCAGCACTGTGACTGCAGCTGAGCTGCAGCAGGGYGATAGATCTTGCATTTCTCAAGACTTTCTTTCTACGTTTTACTGGTGKTTTTTTCAGTGTGCTTTGTTATTTAAGTTTGTTATTACCCTTGTTTTCYCCTAGTTCCCCATTTATGAGTATGACACATTTTTCTTCTTTCTCCCTTATTTCTTCTGTTAGTTACAAAATATTTACTTTCTTTAAAAATATTTATTTTTAAATAGTTGCTAAATCCATTACCTATGAGAATGCATTTTTCTTAAGTAGGAATGTGTAATTTTGTATAGCAGATGTAACTGTTCTACTGATTTTGTTTTGGATTGGTTTGGAGTGAAGGGTTGGCTGCTTGGGTTTCTTTGCTCCATTTATTTAAAAAATACACATTTTGCAYATCACTGCAAGGACATATTTAAGTGAGCCATCCTCATGGGAGAAGAAGCTGCAGGATTCTAAGGTAGAGGGAATGAGTTACTGAGAGATGCCACTAGGACAAAGTCTGAATGGAGGGGAAAATGTTCAGAGTTAAATCTGAGAAGCTTTGTCTGTGCTTATGACCACCCCTGTGTCTGTCTTCCGTGAGCTCCTCCTTCCCGCACCAAAGTATGAATTGGTCCCATACCAAACTGAATTTTTACYTGGAGAGGTCGCAGCTGCTCCATGCTTGGAATTGTCCAAAGCCAGGTTGGATGGGGCTTGGAGCAACCTGGTCTAGTGGGAGATGTCCCTGACCATGGCAGGAGGTGGAACTKGATGAGCTTTGAAGTCCCTTCCAGCCCAAACCATTTCATGATTCCATGATTCTAAACCATTTCCCCATCACATTTCTGCCCAGCCAGCCTCTCCCAGTGTTCCCATGTCACATCACAGGATGAGGTGCACAGGATTTRGGTTTGGGTAGGGAAGGGAATGCACCAGGAATCCCAATGCATGACTTCACACTCAGGCATCGTCAGACACACATGTGTGTTTTAGCACTTAATCTTCTGTGGGTTGAAATGATCAAGTAATTTTTTAAATCTCATTTTTTTAAAGGCAAAATCTCCAAAGAGGTTGGCACCGGATGAGCTGGGTCAGGCAGAGAGCACTGCAAATTTGGATGYGCCGCCAGCCAAAAAACTGAAAGTGCATTGGAAATGCATTAAGTGTGGCTTCGCGACGGACATCCGGACTGAGTTCCAGGAGCACATACCTCGGCACAAGACCGACAGCTCCACCTTCCAGTGCTTGTTCTGTGGCCTGTGCTACACCTCCCACATCTCTCTGAACAGACACCTCTTCATTGTTCATAAAGTCAAAGATGAGGAGGATGAGGAAGAAGAGGAGGAGGAAGAAGAGGAAGATGAAAGGCAGAAGTTACGCACGGAGATGGATGAGAATGGACACGAGGACTACAATGGCGAGTTGAACACTACGGTGGAAGAGGAAAACAAATACAGAGAGTGCAAAAGTGACTCAGCTCTTTGTGAGCACAGTCAGGCGTGTGGTGCAGAAGGCCCCAACAGCCCCTCACAGAACAATCATTCAAAGTCTCTTAAGACTTAAAAACAAAAAAAAGCCCTTTTGGTTGGTTGGGGTTTTTTTGTTGGGGGGTTTCTACTGAAAATACAGGGTGGGGATGGGCAAACCTTTGAAATACTCAGTTGATTTCTTGGGAGGGATGTTGCTTTCCATTAACTCTTATTTGTAAGGGAAATTTGAAACRGACAAAAACAAAACCAACCCTGCCATTGTATCCTAAGCACTAACTCTCTGCCAGCCCAGAGAGGTGAAAAGGGAAAGCAGGGCCAGAATCCTCGCTGGARCTTGGCCAACTCCTGAGGATCCAGGAGCACTTTGCAGCTGCAGTTTCCTTCAGATGAGCTCTCCTCCTTTGAGTGTGCACTGCCTCAGCCTCTGCCCAGAGCCCCAGCCTTGCCTTCCCAATCTCCTTTTCTTTCTCCTACTATTTATGGCTTCCTTTTTCTCTGCCCATCCTGCCTTTGTGTTACTCATTTTAACTCATAACACTGGCTCAGCCAAATGTGCTTGTCAGGACCGTGCTGGCCAATCCAGGATCTGCATTACACAGGATGGGTTCAAGCTATAAATTGTGCGGATTATTCTTATTTGCCCAAGTAACAACTTTTTTTTCCAAAACGCAGTTTAATGAAGTGTCTTGGACCTGAATTGTCCTTGAAAGAGGATTTTGTAGCCCCAGTCATTCCTGGTGGGTACAGTGTTAAGGAGGGCCTGGTCCCCTCGGGGACGTGTTGGCTGTGTGTCTGTGGAGTTGAATTGCTGGAAGCCATTCCAGGGTGGGATGCTGCCACTCCGCTGCTCAGTGGCTCATGCCAGTGGGGATAACATCGCCAGAAGGGGATAACATTCTGCATCCCATCAGTGGGGTCAACTGGAATGAACCTATCCTGGAGCTCCCGATTATCAGTGCCTGGGCTCCCTGACCTGAAAGCTCATTCTGAGGGGAGAGGAGCAGAGCACAGCTCACAGAGGCATTGGAACCAGTGGGAGCCACCGTCCTACAGCATGGTGGGGGCTGGCRCTGCATCAGTAGCTTCGTACCTTCTCTCCTGCTGCGCCTTGGCATTACCCATCCTTTAGGAGATGTTTCTTTCCATGTAGTCACATTGACTCTCTCTTTCCTCCCTCATTCCCTGTCACACCCACGCTTTGTGTAATATAATTACCTTCTATACCATTATTTTTTCATTCTGTTGAGCCAGAACTCCGCTCATTATTGTTTACTCTGATGATGTTTAAATAATTTAAGAACTATTTATCTCCTTGCTTGGGCTTGTCACCATCTGGTCTTGCCATGCTTGGGTATGGCCTGTTGGGGCTGTCTGTATATTGGATGGTGTTTTGGTGGAGTAGAGATTGGATGTGGCATGTTGGTTGGATGTGGTGTGTTGGTAGGATGGGGCGTGGTTGGGTGGTGTGTCAGTTAGATGGGGGTGTAGATTAGATGAGATGTTGCATTAATGGRGTGTGAGGTGGATGGGTGTCACCTGGGTGTTGGTTCATGGGTATTGGCCGCATGGGGTGTTCACTGGATGGGGTAGTGATTGGAAGAGTCATCAAAATAATTGGGCTTTGGTTGGATGGCTTTTGGTTGGGTGGAGCAGCTCTGGAAGTGGTGTTTCAGTTGGAGGGGTGTTTTGGTGGTTGTGGAGTGTCGGCTGGATGTGGGGTGTGTAGACTGTCGGGTGTGTGTGTGGGGTGTTGGGTGTGTGGAGTCTGTGGGGTCTGTTGGGTGTGTGGAGTGTGTGGGGGGGGTCTGTTGGGTGTGTGGGCTCTGTGGGGTCTGGGGGGGGCTCTCGGGTGTGTGGGCTCTGTGAGCTGTGTGGGGTGCTCGCGGGTCTGTGGGGTCTGTGGGCTGTGTGGGCTCTGTGCAGTCTGTTGGCTCTGTGGGCTGCTCGCGGGTCTGTGGTGTCTGTGGGCTCTGCGGGGGCTCTCGGGTGTGTGGGCTCTGTGGGCTGTGTGGGCTCTGCGGGGGCTCTCGGGTGTGTGGGCTCTGTGGGCTGTGTGGGCTCTGTGGGCTGTGTGGGCTCTGCGGGGGCTCTCGGGTGTGTGGGCTCTGTGGGCTGTGTGGGCTCTGCGGGGGCTCTCCCGGGTCCGGAGCGCCCCTCAGCCGCGCCAGCTCCTCGCGGGACGGAAGCGGCGGTGACGCGGCAGCAGCGCGGGCGGAAACGGAAGCGGGGCCGTGCGGGCGGTGGTGGCGGCGGCGGCGGCGATGCTGTCGCTGGACTTTCTGGACGATGTGCGGCGCATGAACAAGCGGCAGGTGCCGGCGGGGCCGGGGGGGAATAGCGGGGGGCGGGTGCGGCCGGTCCGCCCTGCCGTGCTCGGGCGGCGGGGCCTGACCGACACCCTCCCCCTCAGCTGTACTACCAGGTGTTGAACTTCGGCATGATCGTGTCCTCCGCCCTCATGATCTGGAAGGGGCTGATGGTGGTGACGGGCAGCGAGAGCCCCATCGTGGTGGTGCTAAGGTCAGTCCCGGGTTGCGGGGGCTTAAACCCTCAGGGGTTTAACCGGGCTGGGGAATCGCCGGGCCCTCGAGGGGGATCCCCACAGGGATGGGGCRGATGGAGGCTCCTTAGAAATCGAGACGAGGGAATAGTGAGGGAAGAGGGAGTGGGTAGARTCAGCATCTCACCTCGCTCTGTCAGCCTGGATTGGGCTTAAGATGGCTGGTGAAAAAGAGGGAGAGGGTCTTCATAGCCGGGCAGGTAGTGATGGAACAATGGCTTCTTACTGCCTGAGGGCAGGGTTACGTGGGTCATTGTGAAGAAATCCTTCCCTGTGAGGGCGAAGAGGTTCGGGCACGGGTTGCCCAAAGAAGCTGTGGCTGCCCCATTCCTGGAAGTGTTCYAGGCTAGGCTGGACAGGTGTCYCTGGCCATAGTAGGTGGTGGAAYGGGATAGTCTTTAAGGTTCCTTACAACCTATCTGCTATGATTCAATGGTGGTCCATTCAGAGCTGGTTCTGAGCTTAAGGGTTGTCATTCTGTAACTGGATGTTTTGGGTGTCACCTGTTGTCCTTGCTGCAGTGCCCTGCAGTGGGTACCACCAGTGTTGCTCCCATCCTTCTGCTGCCTGGGACAAATTTCCTGRGCTGCCATCAGATGCTAGCACAGATACTGCACAGGGCCTGCTCTGTGGCCACATTGGCCTTTTCTGTGTTTTTCTGTGTCACTGTTCATGATGTAGAAATGCTGTAATGCTATGACCAAGTGCCAATTACCTGAACTTTCTCCTGATGTGAATCACAGGGCAGATGTTTCCACTGTTCCTCCCACTAAGCAAGACAGGGGCCATGAGGTCATGTCCCCTCTTCAGTGATGTGATCTGCTGTTCTGAACAGYGGCTGCTGTGCTCTATGGAGATAAAACACAAATGCAAGTGACACTTGAAGTTCATAGTTCTGTTTTGCATTATTTATGTGGAATTAGGAAGGATACATTGTTGGTAACAATGGCCATTTACAAGACAAAAGAAAAGTAACTTGAGTTGTGGTGCTGAAATGAGATCATTAAGCAAAGTGATGAATCGCCGTAACAAATTTTTGGCAAGTCCTTGTGTCTATTCCAGATGGAAATGCAAGAGCCTGATGTTTTCAGTGTTTTGTTCCTGAKGATAGTCTATTTATCTGCAAAAAATAAATTAACAAGACTTCCCAGCATTACRGAGCAGCCAGCATTGCCCTGCCAATGGTGAGCTCACAAACCAAAAGATAGCGTTCCTCAGCTTTTTGCTTGTTATGAAGGCTTTTCCCTTTGGATCTGCTTGTAACACCAGGTTCTGGCAGTGCTCTTCTCCCAACAAATCCAAACTGTTCGCAATATGGTGATTGAAAACCTTATTTCAGTAGAGGTTACACAGTTGCCTAGTCTCCAAGGTGGTTTTCTTGAAACCTCTTCACCAAAGTTTCAGCCTGGTCTTGAACACTTCCAKGAATGGGGCATCCACAGYTYCTCTCTCTCATTGARGTTCTTGTGAGRTTTTTCTTAAAGGACTATAAACTCTGAAACCCAGTTCTGAGGTTTCAATATTGTTCAATTGTTCCTCTCCTCTCTTTCAGTGGGAGTATGGAGCCTGCTTTCCACAGAGGCGATCTCCTGTTCCTCACGAACCGAATTGAAGATCCGATCAGAGTGGGAGAAATAGTTGTCTTTAGGATAGAAGGAAGGGAAATTCCTATAGTCCATCGTGTCCTGAAAATCCATGAGAAGTACGTCAATAATCTGGGGGGTTCTACTGCTGATATTTTCYTAACTGGTATTATTCTCCATCTCCTTGGGTAAAAGAGTGGGTGGGATGTCAATCATAGATATCTAGGTGCTGTAGGAAGTAGCATGAAAGTTTCAGACAGACAATGTCTGCCCTCCTTGGTTTGCTTGTAAAGATCATCCAGCAGAAGGCACAAGCTGGAAGTCCATGCCAGTATCCTGGATTCTCCAAACTGTAGAATCATGGAATTGTTAGGGTTGGAAGGGCCCTCAAAACCGGTCTCATTCCACCCCCTGCCATGGGCARGGACACCTTCTGCTATCCCAGGTTGCTCCAAGCCCCATCCAGCCTGGCCTTGGATACTTCCTGAGATGGGGCAGCCACAGCTTCTCTGGGCAACCTGTGCCAAGGCCTCCCCACCCTCACAGGGAAGAATTTCATCCCAATATCCCATGTAACCTGGCAGTGGGAAGCCATTCCCCCTTGTCCTCACATTCCTTCTCAAAGCTGACCAGCCTCGTGCACATAAATACACCACTGAAATTCTGACTCGGAGGGAACGGTGCCTCTCCCAGTAGGCAGAGCACATTCTTTGCTGTTCATATTTATTCTGTACCCAGAACTTTGAACAATGTCACTTTTCAAAGYGTTTTTCTTTGATACTTCCAATTTAAAAATACGATCAGTTAATAGTGCTARTCCTGGATTCTCTAAAGTGAAACTGTTTTTATCTGAAATAACCAAACACAAACCTAATCTTTAKATTAGGAGAGATAAACTGAAAGACCATTCTGTGACCTGAAGCAGGGAGCTGAAGGCAGGTTTTGGGTATCAGATGCTTCTATCACTATTTTAAGACTAATTTTCTAGTGCCAGTTTGGAAGTGAAAAGTCTGCAGAAGCTGACCGGAGTGTCAAAATGCTGGAAAACAGAAATAGTGTTCTCTATACATTTTGGGGCAACTCAGGCCCCAGTTCACGTCAGTATTGTGTCAGTGGAAAATGTCTGTTACTTGCTGGCCTTTTCTTCTTGTGTCAGCACAAAATTGAGTTAATTCTTTATTACTAAGTGAGTCTGCAATCAAAATTTACTTAGTGGTTTTGCAGCAGGGCAGCCAGACCAGACTTCACTCACCTCAGACAGCAGAGAAGTGCACCATGAGTTTCTCGCTCCACGTTGTGACAGAGCCTTGACTCTGCTCAATAAGGTGTTGCACTCCTATGGCGTCACTCTTCAGAGCTAAACTGCATTATCTGCACCTTTGGGAATCTGTATCGTTCTTCAGACAATGTCTCTATGCTCCTGGATTGTTTCTTGCTCCCACACAACAAGCCAGATGTACTTTGGAGAAAGAGCTGAGGGTTTTTTCCCTTTTTCCTTTCCGAGCTTCTCCTGTCAAGGAACCTGTTGGTGTTCAGGCAAGATGCAAACAGCCTGAGCTCCACAGAGCCACGTGCTTTCCCATTCTGCCTTCCATCTGTCATTTCTATCAGAGCTGAGATTCAAGCACTGAGGATGCTCCTGCTCAGCACCTGCCTGCAGGTGCCACAGGAAGGTGACAGTGGCCATTCCCTGAGTAGTGGCATGAGCTGCTGTCAGGCATCTGAATGGGAATGGCTGGGAAAGGATCTATAAAGCTTTTTTCTGGTCAAAGCAAAGATTCATTTGCTCTGGGATCCCATTTCTGGCTAGCTAATTAATTCATCTCAAGGATGAATTAATGATTAGGGAGAGTATGTTGTGATATTTTTCCTGCCTTCTGCAGGTTACAATTTCAAACACTAGGTCCTAGTTCTTTATGAATAGCCTCATTTCTTCCTTTACATGGAGTATCTGGTCAATTTTTGAACCAGTATAAATTTTAGTCAGCCAAAATACCTTTGCAGATAGACGTGGTTTAGTTTGCACTGTGTATATTTCTGCATAGCACCTTCTCTGCCTGGTTTTAACTTCTGAGCTCTTTTTGGTGCCCTCTGACTCTTGCATTGGAGGAGACAGTGAAAAGCTATTTGATTGTTGCTGTCATTTGTGGTGGACTATGTCATATCTCCCATCAGTTCTGTCTTTTCCAGACTGAAGAGTCCTGGTCTGTAATTTCTTGTGTGGAAGTGGTTCCAGGCCTTGTTAACCATTTTTCAACCTTTGCCAGTTCTTCTCTCCATTGCAGAAAAGGATCTGGGGGGTCAGCATTGCCCAGAGCATTCCAGATGTAGGCACATCATGAGTTCATGCAGTGTCATCATGGTACTACTTTTTTTTTCTGTCTCCCTTTCCTAATCAGTTCTAAGTTTCTACGCTTGCTTCTGCCCACTGCTGTGTAGAGCTATGTGCTTCAACCCCAACCTCTCCTTTTGGGTGGTAGCAGGGAGCAGAACCCACATCTGTGTGAAGGAAGAGAAGCGTCAACAAAAAAATGGTCAAAAGCCAAGATGCAGTAGCTGAGCCTGCGCTGGAAATGGCTCATCCTGTTGGTTCTGTTCTGAAACTCTGCTGGAAAGCTTGGCTGGGGCCAGAATTCATTCTTCCCATGGCAGTTTTTTCCAAACCGTTTGCTTTCTACTTCATTTGACGGAGTTTCCCTTTTTTATCCTGCTTGAATTTTAGGACAGGTTGCTTCTAGTGCCCTTGTGTTGGTTTCTCCATGCTTATTGTAGAACAGCTTTTAACAAGTTCCTGTCCTGCCTTACCTGGTTGTCTTGTCTTTACCAGGCAAAATGGAGACATCAAATTTCTGACAAAGGGAGACAACAACGCTGTGGATGACAGAGGGCTCTACAAGCAGGGGCAGCACTGGCTGGAGAAGAAGGACGTAGTAGGACGAGCAAGAGGGTAGGTGAAGTTGAAAATGATGCGACTTTTCACACTGCCATCCCCCAAAGCCATCTGGTAAATCCTCCCTGGTGCTGAGCTGACCCTGTTGGGTTTTGTAACCTGCCTGAGAGTGTGGAGTTCAGTTCAGTTCTAGTTTGGCCTAAGCAAAGGCATCAAGTTGTTAGTTGCATCTTGAGATGTTGATGTTGGGTGGACATGGATGTAAGGGCAGGGTGTGCTCAGGCCTCATCAGAATTGTCATCAAATTTATCCTGGGAGGCTAAGCCTTAGCAGGCAAGTGAGATCTGAGTCAGCAAAGGCTAAAACACACTCTGGGGCTGGTTGTCACTCAGCCCTACTGCCACAGCCTTCCTGCCGAGGAGGAGGTCCCCAGCCTGCTGATCACAGCCCTCAGGATGCTTGTGTGACTCTCCCTCTGCACCCTGGAATAGTGTTYGTTTTAAGGAAACTTTTATTTTTGTAGATTTGTGCCCTATATTGGAATAGTGACTATCTTAATGAATGATTATCCAAAATTTAAGGTAAGAACTCTTCAATTTCCTGCCTGCTTTTCCCACCCCAGCTAAAATTTCTTCATTTGAACACAGGCAGAGCCCTGTGCCCTGCATGTTTACTGCTGTAGATGAGTGTGCACTCCTGTGTCTCCTCTGCTCTCTCTTCCAGTATGCAGTCCTCTTTTTACTGGGTTTATTTGTGCTGGTCCATCGAGAGTAGTCCCTGAACTACGGGTGAAGGTGCCATGGATTTTTCTAGTTTTAAGTGGCTGATGGTCCRATGTGCCAGGAGAAAGAAGAAAACACGCATTTCAAAGCTTCTTGTCAGTTTGGGTTTATTTTGGTTTTTACTGCGTAAGGGCGAATGTTTGTCACAGTATTTCCGATGGTTTGTCACATTTTAGCCTTTTTAGTGAATTTTTATATTAAAAAATTGAGTCAAACTGTTTAGTGCTTGTATTTTGAAGCTGAGCTTCCTCTCCAAGTGCCTCTGGGACTGTGTCTTCAGTCTGTGCCTGGTCTGGCCTGGTGCCCCCTCCCTGTGCTGACTGAATTGTCCAATGGCGAGCTGTAGCCATGATGGTTTTTTTCCAGTTCAGAACTAGAATAAAGATTTTGCCTCTTGCCACATTCTTTGTTACTGCTCTGATGAGAGCAGCCTCCTAGTCCAGGTTCTGGGGGATACCTGGGCTTTGCTGTTGCGGACTCCTAGAGCCACTATCTAGCTTGTCCTCTCTTAACAGAGCAGTAGCAGCTGCTCCTCTCACATCCTTTTGGAGAATAATCTGTCCTGAGCTGTAGATTGTTCCATTTTTCTGTGTTTCTGTAAATCACACTAAAATAATCTGCTTAAAGACTGGAAGGTGTTCGGAGCAGAATATGGCAAAGGATTACTTTGTGCATTGTGGCACTAGGTAACTGAAGGACTGAGGTGGGAAATACCCACAGCTCTTTGGCAGGGATGATTTAGCAGGATGCAGTTATAAAAATTGCTTTGTTTTGAAAAAGGGTTTCAGGTCTCCAGCTGGCCATGTCTCACAGCTCAGCTGAGAGCTACAGACTGCCCTGAAGTCTGAGATAAAAAACCCACTTGTCACCTTGTGCAGCAGCTGTCTTTTCTGAGCTTCTCATTCAGGTTTGTAATCCTGCTGGTGCAGGTGTTGTCAGAGAGAGCCCAGGAAAGAGATGCAAGGCAGCGATGCTGCAGCTTATCAGCTCTTCTCCATGTCTGCTCCAGGATTCCAGAGCAACAGGGATTATTGCAGATGGTCACTGCAGCCACATGTGGCTTGTGAAAAGCAAAACAGTCAGGAAAAGCAAGGACAAAATGCAGTGGGGTGTTTATGGCTGTTTGCAGTTTCTTGCATATGTCCCTCATTGGGTTTGTCAGGTCTCTCCCATCTCTGGAGGTGAATTGTGCCATTAGTTATGTCCATGGGACCATTTGTCTGGTTTTAGTGTTACCAGGTTCTTTGTTCCCTGTGTAGGATAAAGCGAAAGTCACTTGTAGGGCAATGCAAAGAGTCTGAGACCAGGTTCAACCCCCAGCACTGAGTCTTGGGCCGGCGGCTCTTTGTAGTCATAACTTCCTAATAAAAATGGTTATAAAATCTGTATCTCCTGCCCCAATGTTAGAGTCCTTGAGAGGAGAGTCTGGTTAGTTTTTCTGTAATACTTGATTTAAGGGTRGAATGTTCTGTCAAAAGTCAAACTCAGGCAGCAATGARAGCACATGGAATCTTGGAGAGCTGTCATCACTGTGGAGCACCTTCCTGAGGGCTGGAGCAGCATTTCTGCCTTTGCTGCTCGTGCTGAGCTGGAGCCTGTCCCTGCTTTGCCTTCAGCTTGAACAGYTTTGTGCATAAGTGGGTTTTAGACTTGGGCTCACACAAAGGGCTGAGTTGAACTCATCTGAAGGCTGCCAATCAACACCTCCCCGTGAGCACTTGCTGGGAGTGCTGCTGCTGCTGCTCTCTGAATCCTCCCTTCCACACCTCCAAAATTCTGCACAACATACAAAAGCAGTTGTGCTCCTGTCGCTGAGTTGAATTAATGAAAAAAAAAGGCTAAAGACAAAGGACTATAGAGCAAGGATTAGCTCTCCARCTGCTGAGACCCCAGTTCTTTGGCCAGATGATGTGTCCAGGGGGTGTCAAGTGGTGTCAGGAGTCCCWGGGCTGGGGGACATGGCCAGTGCAGGCTCTGGGAGGAGGGTGTGGGCAGCCCTCACATGGTGCTGTGTGAAGGAATTGAGCAGAAAGTGCTTCAAAAATGYAGGGTGCTTGGGTTGAGGGGTACTGGAGCTCACTGCAGCCCACCTTTGGGGGCTCYTCTCCAGGGCCTGCAGGTGCTTGTAGAACAGGAGCAATTGCCCTAAACCAGGGGCTGCCGTGTGGCATTTGGGGGTTCATCTCTGCAGCCCCTGTTCTGCCTGTGCAGCTCTGTGCAGCTGAGAATGTGGTTCTGTTACCTGCAGTCATGAAATGAGTTGAATCTAATTAGGGTGARGATAAACGAGCACTCAACCCCCTCACTGCTCCAACACMCACCACCTCTTGTGCCCCCTCCCAYCTCACCTCCTGCATTCCAGCAGCATTTTTCCTTCCACAGTAGGATAAGACGGTGCTGGGGATGAGCCTGCATGGGCTGGAAACTGGGGATGTGGGGGCAGGATGACACRGAGTTTTTGCTGGCTCCATCCCCASCAGATTTATTCTGCTTTGCTGAGCAGAAAAGCCACGGAGTGAGCAGGATCTCGGCTGGTTGGGTGCTGATGCTGAAGTGTTTGGGAGCACTGCTGAGCTCCTGCAGAGTCAGGGGGGTTGATGGTAGAACTTGATGTGCTTGTGTTTTATTTCGGTTTTATGCTACTTTTTTTTTTTTTTAAGATGTAACTGTCTGGGCAGCTTCAGCAAAGCCACTGACACTGGAGGCTTTGGAAATGGATGGAGATCTTGGTGTCACCACAGGAGTGGGATTTGCTTGTAAAGTATGTGGGTGTTGAACAGTCTGGTTYATCAAGGAGRAAAAAAAGAAAGAAAAAAATCTGCCAGGGCTGATTGCTCCTGTCTCTGTTGTGGTTACAGCCAAACAGGGCAGGTTTTCTGGTAGCTTGTCCAGTGCTTAATTACTGTTCAGTCATATCTGCAGTTGAGGGCATGGATTCCTTCACGGGCAGGAGATGTTTCATGCTGGGCTATGTCTGATTGCTGCTGGAATTCTGGTAGGTGATTTTTTTTCTTCTSAAAGCTAAATGCATAAGCCAGAGCGTGATGGTTGGGAGATGAGCTGTGAGGGTGACGTGCTGCGAGCTACAGCTCCATGAGACAGAGGCTGGTTTTGTGTATTTACGATGCTTGAACACGCAGTTGTTGATTAAACAGCAATGAGCATCACGGTGGTTCACCCAGATCTGTCCCTGCTTATTGCTTTGCAGGGATTCACAGGGCTCAGATTTGTTAGATGGTCAGTTCCCTGATGTCTTTAATGGGATTGGGTTATATCATGGTGATTCTCCTGCCTTTAAAATTGAGAACAGGTCAAGTGTATTTTTTCCAAGGAGAGCATTTTCAAAATGAAACCTGGTCCATGCATGGCTTGAAGACCACTCTGCAGGGGAAATACAGAATGCAAACCCAGCATGCAGCCCCCAGGATGTGCCMCAAGTTGGCCAGAAGGAGAAGAGACAGAGAAGGAGAGAAGGAAGAGAGGAGAGGTGCTTAGAGCTTGTGCCTGGGGGATGGCTCCTGTGCCAGAGCAGGGGCAGTGCAAAGCAGCTCTTTGTATGACCCACATGGTGTCAGTGACTCAGTGGCTGAATCAGATGAATCCTGGTTCCRTCCTGGAAGGTGCTCTGGGGTGATGCCAGAAGAGCCCAGCCAGTGCTGTTCCAACAGTGTCAGCAGCTCAGGGTGGGAGTTGATGTGTGGTGGGTGGCTGATCTGACCCTCTCATCACTGGGAGGAGACAAACCAGCACCCCACCCCAGSCTCGAGACACTTCTGTCCCTTTGTCATCTGCATCCAGATTCTCACGTCTCTGCAGGGATAGATCCACCTACCTGAGCATGTTGGATTCAGATAGGAYGCAGGGGCTTTCCTGAGAAATCTGATTCAGTGGTTCTATTTTGCCATAATTGGATGGCTTTGCTGCTGGTTCCTAGTCTGCCCAGCTATGAGAGCCCTTCTTCATGTTTGCTCATCCCTGCTTATTCCTCAGTTGCTGTAAAAGCCTGCCAGCTCCATCACACAGTCCTGCTTCCCCATGGAGCACGACCTGCCTCTGTGTGCTGGCCCTGCTTGTTGAGCACATTGTGTGTGAAAGCTGCTCCAGCTCATGGGAAAATTCATATATTTGTTCAATCCTAGCAGGACCTGTGAGTGCCTGATCTAGCAGGGTCCCRTAAACCTTGGGGGAAATACCTTCACAGAGTAGAAGAGCCTAAACAGGGATTTACTATAAAACCACCCTCTGTGATTCAGGATGGAGCAGAGGCTCTCAGTCTCTTGCTCCTTCTGCCCAGCTCCTCATCTTTTGTCTGTTTTYGGCTGGGATACTTCTGAGCTGGGCCTGAACTTGCTTGCAAGAAAACACAATTTTCTTCTCTTAAGTCTTCTTGCAGAGCAGTTATTTGTAATATGTCCAGCAGGCGTGGAGTGAGAGGGAGACCTCAGGGAAAACCACAGCTCATTTACAGCTTAAATGAAAATTGAAAATGAGTTGAAAACAAGATGTGCAAGATTTCAAATTTTGTGTTTTATAAACAACAGCTATTGCCTGTGGATGTAACAGAGGGATTTAATCTTTGTAAATAAGAGAAAAATGCATCAAAATAGACCCTCAGGCATGTGGCAGGACCTGGCTGTGGAAAAGTGGTGAAGAGGCTGAAGCAACTTAACTGCTACTAGGAGTTTTATTTGCACCAGGAGCTCTGTGAAGGAGACAGATAGGGACATTTGAGGCCATTGCTCTTTGTATTTGTTTTTTTTTTATTAGAGCCATCAGTTTTGAGMACACATTTGCCTACCCAGGTGGATTTTTGCAGGGCTTGGGAGGCCTGAACTCCACAGCATGGACTCTCACTGGCCAGCCTCCCTGGGAGATGCAGAGTCAATGCCCAAGGTACCAAAGCRTGGAAGCTCAGAATGATTTGGGCTGGAAGGGACATTAAARCCCATCCAGTTGCACTCCATGCCAAGGGCATAGACACCTTCCACTATCCCAGGTTGCTCCAAGCCCCATCCAACCTGGCCTTGGACACTTCCCRGGATAGCCACAGCTGCTCTGGGCAGTCTGTGCCAGGGCCTCACYACCCTCTCAGCCAAGCATCTTTTCCCAATATCCYRTCTGACCCTGTCCTCTGGCAGTGGGAAGCTATTMCCCCTTGTCCTGTCCCTCCAGGCCCTTYTTTGAAGCCCCTCYCCAGCTCTCSTGGAGCCCCTTTAGRYCCTGGCAGGGGCTCTGAGCTCTCCCTGGATCCTTCTCCAGGTGAGCACCCCCAGCTCTCCCAGCCTGGCTCCAGAGCAGAGGGGCTCCAGCCCTCAGCATCTTTGTGGCCGTGTCTGGACTTGCTCCAACTGGTCCATGTCTTTCTAGTGCTGAGGACTTCAGACCTGGAATGCAAAGCAGAGAAAAAGAAAACRGACCTTGCATTAAAGTGCTTTCCAGGTTGGTCTGTAACATTTGTTAGTGAGGCCCTCTTGTCTGTGCAGTTTTTACATCCATTTATTTTGCTTAGTTGTGGTGTTCTTTCTTACCTGGTGAAATCCTGCTTCATCTTTAGATATATTTAGAGGATATGCTACTAGGGCCTGTTTCACAGGTCTGTTACTGCTCATCCCTACATGGACAGGAGCAGGGCACAGGTGATAAGGAACAGGACACCCTAAGAGWATACTTGAAACTTGTTGAAGGAATTAGGAGGCTTATGAGCAAGGTGAACCCACAGGGATCATCTACCTGGATTTCCCAAAGGTATTTGGTGAGGTCCCTACACAAAGGCTCCTGAAGAGGAGAAGCAGCCCTGGAACAGGTGGTGAGATCCTTACAGGGGAAATAATTTGCTAAAAGGTAAAGAACAGAAGGGAAAAGGGACGTGGGAGGAGACTGGGTAATATAAAAAAGATGAAATTTAAATGTACATGAATATAAAATGGTGCACAGGGGGAAAAAACAATTTTAACTCTATTTATAAAACAACGGGTTCCAAGTTAAGTGTTACCATCTGGAACATCAGGGTTGTTACAGATTGTGCTGTGAAAATGTCAGTTCTGTGGTCAGCAGCCATCCAGAGAAAATGGTGTGTGGGGATTGTTGTGGGAAAACAGAGCAAAACAACCCTTGCTCCCTCCAGCTGCAGGCATCTGGAGAAGCTGAAGATCCCTGGAGCTTCGAGCTGTTTTGGGTGGGAAGGGACATTCCTGGAGGGTATGGGGCTGTGCAGGGCTGCTCTCACCCAGCACCAGAGGGTAAATCCCAGGGAGAGGGGAGGGGTAGTTCTGTGCAGACCCTCCTCTGCCTCGAGGACATAACCATCAGCAGCCTGCCATTTTCCTCTGGAGCCAATGCCGCATCTCCTGCATCACCTGTGGAAGTTGGTGTGCTGACCTCTGCCAGCACAATTGATTTATAAAGTAGAAATTCTACAGCTTTTTTGACAGACAAGCTGGGATGATTCCCTTGGAGGCTGGTAGCTGTTGGAAAGGTGAATCTCTGCTGAGCTGGAGAGAGCAAGTGGTGGAGGAGCACTGCAGTGGCAACTCCTACCTGGAATGCTGGAAGTCCCTGCGGGCTCCAGGTTGGGTGTCTTGCTCTGACCCACCAAAGGAACAAAGGCAGAAGCAGARCATCTACCACAAACCCCATGAGGCTGGTGACCAAGGTCTGGAGCTCAGGTCCTGGTGCCCTTCCCAAGCAGGTCCTGGATGCCAATTATTTTCCCCAAAATTAGGAACAACATCACTTCTTTGTGAAGACAGGAAAATCCAGAGAAAACATGGTCTCTGTTGGTGTCAGGGGCTGGTATTTCCCGATGCTGCTGTGGAGGAAGGAGTTGTTCCCAGAGCTCTGCCTGGATCACGGTGCTGGTGCTGCTGCTGCTTAGTGAGTGCTGAGCTCAGGATCCTCTCACCAGTTGTTTTCCAGTAAAGCTCCACTGGCTGCCCTGCACTGAGCTCCCCCTTCCATCCTCCGTCCTGTCTCTGTGTAGCTGTTCCATTGCTCTTTGCTGGCTTGAAATCAGGGTTATGGGCTCACATCTCCCACACACACATCATGTGGTCAAGCTTCAGTACTCAGCAATTAATCTGACATGCCCTTAGTTTCTGAGGCTTTACGGTGACACTGCAACAGGGCAGGAATTCCCTGATTTCCCAGCTTTTCCCAAACTTGCCTAGCAGTGCCACTGTGATGGAAAATACTCGTTCCTCTGCTCCCACCTTGGCTGAGGTAACACCAGCTGAAAAAGAAGGAAGATATGGGTTGTGCATTTAATTACAGCAGTGCAAAAGCCTTCATCCTGTTTGAAACACTGCAGCTTCCCACAGCTCATCCCTTGTCCCTGGGGCTGCCTGTGAGGGGCACTGAAGGACTGGCACTTAACCCTGTCACGCTTCAGTTGCTGCCATAATTGCCCAGGGCTCTTTCCTCTGCCCTCTGTAATTGGGATCACTTTATCCCTGGCTTCATCCTCCCTAATCCTACAGGTAACCCTTCAGCTTGCTCTTCCCCGCAGTGGAGGATTGCTGCTCAGTTTCCCAAAAAACACCCCTTCCCCAGGATGAGGAGAAACCAGACTTCAGCTGTGCCAGTACTAGGCAGCACCAGGATCTTCCTTCACATCCAGCRCCTTCTCTGGACCTCACATCCTCCTCCTTGTCCTGCCTTTCCTATACCTAATGCCTTTTCCAGACACCCTGAATTTCCATCCCTTTGTGTCTGTCATTGATTGATGTTGTGGGAAGTCAGCAGTGTCTGAGTGACTGGCTTGACCTGGTCCCAGGCCCTCCTCGTCACTATGGATCTGCCAGGACTGTGTCTGACGCCCACCAGACCTCACCCCAACCTGTGAGTCCAGACCCTGAGAGTATCCCTGTGTAAATATGGAACCCAGAGGAGTCCCTCTGGGCTACAGCCGAAGGACAAGAAGAAACAGCCCAACATGTGTCTTGGAGCCCTCCAATCAAATGCTTCCAGTGTCCTCTGGATTTCACGTCACTTGAGCCCTGGACACACATGGTCTGTGTCCCAGGTCCCCACTGTCTGTGTCCCTGGCATGGCTGGGCACAGCTCCTTCCCATTAATGGAAAAGGAGGAGCTCGTGCAGAACGTGATAATCCCTGGAGGGTTTGGGTGTAGTGATCAGGAAAAAATGGTGAGCAAAATCTCAGAGGGAGTGGAAAAGGTGAGAAGTGATCCACAGCTCAGGTGCTCACCCTCTGCAGAGAGATGCGCGTGGGATCTTCTGGGAGGCTGCTCTGGAAGGTGAAGGAGCTGGGCAGAACTGGCAGGTGCTCAAGAACAGGATCCTCGGATGATCCATGCCGCTAATCAGGTGTGCAAGTCGATGTACTGGGAGACAGGTTTGAGTTTAAGCTGGAAACGAAGCTCATGGCTGATTTCCAGTGCTAGAAGGCGGCGTGGAGAAGGTGGGAGCACGGACGAGCCATGACGGAGAGGTTTGGGAAGGGGGGGTCAGACTCGGTGGCGGGTCTGTCACGGTGCCGCACGGTGGGCACAAGCGGAGGGTCGGGTGTGCCAGCCCGGGGCGGGGCGCTGGGGGCGGAGCGCGGTCCCGCCCCGCTCCTATAAACGGGCGGCGGCGGCGGCGGGCGCGGGTCCCGCGGAGGTGATGGCGCTGCGCTGCCTCCTGCTGCTGCTCTGCGGAGCCGCGCTGGGACCCGCCGTCCACCTCGACTTCGCCGAGCACCGCAGCCAGGCCGCCAAGATCAAGGTCAACCCCCGCGGCAACCTCTGGGCCACAGGTACCGGGCGGGGGGGCGGACAGGGACACTCGGGGTGTGCGGGGCACGGCGACCTCCTGCCTCCCCGAGCGTCCCGTGGCTGCTTGTGCGGAGCCCTCTGCTCCCYCGGGCCCCGCGGTGCGAGGGGGATGCTGGCAGGAGCACGGTGGGCAGGGGGAGACTAGGGGAGGGGTGAAGCCACCTCCATCTGCATCCTCAGATGGTGTCAGGTCCAGCATCCCCATCGGGTCCGACATCCCTGGGTRTGAGGTTCAGCATTCCTGGGCAGCATCCCTGTAACCCCAGACATCCTGTCGGCAGGGACAGAGAGGGAAGTTTCCCAAAAGTCCCGTGCGGACTGAGAACCTGGGGTTTCTGGGTTTCCCTCGACTCAACTGGTTTGGGCATTAGGTCACTCGGTGCTCCTCGTTGATTTGTGCCGGTGYGGGGCACCCTCCCCGCCCCACCCCAGACACACCATGTGTGGTGTTGCAGGTCACTTCATGGGGAAGAAGAGCGTCACAGCCTCCCCACACCTGGAGTCTCCAGAGGARCCTGCCATGCCAGTGGTCTTTGGTCCCTCTCTACGAGCCCTGCTGGAGGACATGATGGAACTGCTGACCCGGGAGCTCCTGAAAATCCTCTTGCAGGAAAGGCTACTGGACGAGAACCAAGGAAAATACGACCTCACTGACCAGGTGAATATTGACTTAGATGGGGGGAGATGCTCAGAGCAGGGAGGTGGAAGGAGCTGTGCTGGAGATGGGAGCACCTGTGCGGCTGCTAGAGGTGCATTCCCCTCTTCACCTCCTTTTAACCCTCCTTAAATCACTTCTTAAGACCAGCCATGAAGGGACAGAGGAGAAGTGTCTTGAGGCTTGTGTCTGGCTGGGCGGTGACAGGTGCTTGGGAGGGGTGTGAGGATGAACAAGGAACCCTATGATGGAGCCGTGGCAGTAGTGATCTCCAACCCAGGGGTTTTTACTGAGTGGGTCTTCCTCAGCCTGATGTAGAAGAGGATGGTGGCCACTGTGGCTACCGTGGTGTCCCGCTTTCCAGGGACAGGGAAATCCTTTCTTCCTSTTATTTCTGCAGATAGGGACCTAGAGGGAAGCAGTATGTGAAGGGAAAGGCATCTGTCAAGCAAAGAGCTTYGACTCTGTGTCACTGTGATTGGGATCCCTCAGCACTGGGGGCACGAAGCTTTGCAGAGGGGAGGCTGGCCCTGCTGCTGCAGAGCAGGTTTTGGGGAGCAGGGAGTGAGCAGGAGCTCCGCTGGTCTCACTGTGTGCAGCAGATCCTCAGCCTCCTCACTTTGGCTTTTACCTTGGAGCTCACTCAGTTCTTAGCGGAAAACCTACCCCTGGGAGCCATGCACAGACACAGAACCTCAGGCAGGATGTGGAGATGGAATTGCTCAGTCCAGAGATGGAATTACTCAGTCTGTGTGGCTCTGCTTGTCTGTTGCCTCCTGCACACTTCCCTGGTGTCTCAYCCTTTCCAGTCACTGCAGGAAGTAACTGGGAGTCTTAAGGGATGAAATCCTGTTAGGTCARTCCCCCCAACGCTGTCCCACTGAGCCAGGAGCCTGAGGACTTATCCAGTAACACTGCACACAGGTAAAGCTACTCGTGCTATCCAGGGTTAGGTACGGCTTGCTCCTCTGCTTTTTTTGGGAAGGCACAGATGGAGCAGAGTTGCAGGGCTGGGAGCCAGAGTGCCATTGKTTGTTCAAGCACCTTCTTGACTTCCTTTTAGAAGATTAAGGTAAACTGAGGCTTCCTAGAGAGCTGTTCCCATCGGGTAGAGAGCTTTACACAGTGAAGATCCAGCTGAAGGTGTGAGCGCATCCTACTCCGTCTGTAGTGTGCTTTGCTGCTGCAGTGTTTGCTTCTGGGATGCAGCTGCAAAGGAGACGAGGGAGATTCTGGGCCCTTCCTCATCCTCTCTGAGGAGACTCTGAGCAGGAGGGCACTTGCTGAGGGGATGGRAGAGCTGGTGGGTGTGCTGCCCTGCCTTGTTTGTGAGTGTGTGGTGTGAGTTTGGTAAAAGTACTTCCTGCATAGGTCACTGCTCTCGTTGCAGATGTGACTGTGCAGAGGCTGCCCCAAGCGCTGGTGCTGCTCCACGGGTTCCAGCTGTGTGCCAGAGCCCTGCCAGCCCTGCCAGTGCTCATTCCCAGTGCTCAGGGGCAGCTGCTGGCCAGGTGTGGCACTGGGTGACAAAGCTCTGCTGCTGGAGAGTGATTTGGCTGCGACCGTCGTGGGGGAAGGTGGGATGCCCTGCACATGCGTGGCATCACAACTGAGCTGCTTGATGTGCAGCTGGCTCCTGCCCCTCACTTTCTCTTCCCAAAGCCTGAAGCCTCTTTTTAGCCAGTGCCCTGGTCCGTTGCTGGGGGCTGGTTTTGGTTTTGCTCTTTGGCACCTCACTTCCCCAGCTCCTGACCTCCTGCTTGTTTCTCCCGCCCATTCCCAGGGCATCCTCACCTCTGTGCTGTGGTGGATATTACAGAACTGCTTCTCCCTGGTGCCTCTGAGTGCTGCCCAGGTTCTACTGTTCTGTGTAACCTTACTTTTTCTTGCTCTTGTGGTTGACATGGTGCCAGTCCAAATTCCTGCCACCCTGACAGCTTTCCCCTCAGTGTGACTGTTGTTGGACACCAGATGTGAGCACCCAGCCTGAACTGATCTGTGTGCTGTGTTCCCACCTTCCTCACAGGCTTTTTTGTAGCCCTGGCCTGTGAAATTCACTGTCCATGCCCTGCTCGGGATCTGTCRCTTCCATCTCAGCTTTCCAACCACGTGTGGCAGACAGGGCTTGGCTCTCATCATACTGGGCCTTTGCAGTGCTGCCATGTCGCCTCATGTGACAAGGATTGAGCGAGCAGAGGAGGATCCTGCCCATCCTCTGTCAGTCCCTGGGTGTGTGGCATGAACTCCCCAGGATACAGAGACCGTGTACACGGAGTGGAAGAGCTCCAGGGCTGTGGGCAGAGCCCTTCTGCCTGAAGGCAGGTGCTGCCCTGCGTTACTCTAGGATCTGTGGTCAATCTCACAAACCCCTCTGTGACTCTTCCCTGTTGTGCTTTCTGTCTCTTATTGCCTTCTCACATTCTCTGCTGTGTCGCTCTCCCATGGCACTCAGCCCAGTGGCTGTTGCCTCACTGGGATGGTGATGTTTCCCTCTGCCGTCTGACAGTCATGGTTCAGCCATTAGAGCAGAGCTGAAGGCTTCTGGCTGTGTCCTCCTCGTGTGCTGTCCCGAGCCATCACGCTGCAGGACGGGCTGTTTGTGGTACCTGGCAGCTGATGGCGGGGGTTGTGTGCACGACCCCATGTCTCACCGCCGTGTCTTGTTTTGTAGGAGACGGGACTGTTAACAAAGGTGCTGGAGAAGTACTTCTCGAACTGAAGAGGTTCATCTGGGAAGGATAAGGTCTGCAAGGTCGGCTGTGCGTGGAGAACAGAAGAGATCATCGTCCTTGTGGGTTTCTGTAGCAACACAATTTTATTTATTGTTTCTGTAGTAGTGTTAGCAGCGATGGCGTGAAAAGTGGAGCCTCCCTGTATAGTTCCTGTATGTTTTGTGTTTTCTTGATGTCTGACGTCCCCTGTGAATAAAACTCTTTGCATAGACTTTTCTGTGGGGGTGGGAAGGCAGACCCCAGGGCCTGTGCAGGGACAATGAGGAGTGGGAGCATCTTGGGGCAGGGTGAAGGGAAGCTCTCAGCAGCTCAGAGGGGTTGGATTCAGTCCCTGCAGCCTCTGCTCACCRAAGGAGACCCTGACATGGCACAACATCACATTTGGTGAGCTGATYGTACCACTCACCACCGGATCTTCGTGACCCTGTTTGCTGAGGATTTTACCAGCAAAATCTTGTCCTAGCCCTGGCAGGATTTCTGACTCRGAGTCCCAGCCCCAGTGTTGATTGGCCAGACCATCCATTGTGTTCATTGACCAGGCCATCCAACACTCAGTCTGATTTCGAGGCTACTTTGGGATGATTACTTGGTGCACCCTCACCTTGTCCATGTGGTTAAACACTCACAGGGGCAGAGGTGCCGYCCCAGGGCCCTCTGTTGCTCAGGGGGGCTGGAGAAAGAAGCCAGGAGCTGTAATGGGTGAGGGAACAGCCCCATGAGCAGACTCTAGTTCTGCACCTTCTCAAAATGCTGCTCACGATGCACCCTGGGGCTGCCAGCCCCTCCTGAGGGTCGTGGCCTCACAGAATGGTTTGGGCAAGAAGGGATCTTGAAGAACATCTTGTGGCCGTGTTCCGTGGGCAGGGACACCTTCCACTAYCCCAGGGCGCTCCAAGCCCCCTCCAACTTGGTCTTGGGCACTTCCAGGGATCCAGGGGCAGCCACAGCTGCTCTGGGCACCCTGTGCCAGGGCCTCCCCACCCTCAMARRGAACAATTCCTTCCCGATTTCCCATCTGTCCCTGCCCTCTGGCAGTGGGAAGCCATTCCCCCTTGCCCTATTCCTCCAGGCCCTTATTTGAAGTCCCTGTCCAGTTCTCTTGGAGCCTCTTTAGGCACTGGCAGGGGCTCTTAAGGTTTATCCAGAATCTCCCCTGCACCCAGCTGATCAATTGCTACTGCCTCAGCCTCTCCTCAGAGCATGTTCATGGCCCTGGGGATGTCCCCAGGACGAGCTAAACTGGGCAGCAGAGCCCAGAGGGATGTCATAAATGAAAGCATAAACTTTCACACTCTGCTCTTCCCAATTCTGATGATAAATTCAACCTGATCCTTTGATCTCCCACAGMAGGGGAGCCCTTCTCCCAAGAACAGAAACCTCAGAGCCACATCACAGCAAGCCAAGGGATGATCAAGCAKCTGAAGATGCTGATAATTAGTAGAGGGATCAAAGCCATGGTGGGAGACCTTTCYACCATGCTCCCTATCCCTTCAAGGATAGTTCAGATCCTGTGAAACCTCCTCTGCCTTGCTGGAGCTGTTCCTTGCCTGCAGCCCCTGGGARGAGCATCACCTTAAGCCTCCCAGGTACTACAATCTGCTGATTAACACCCCCCTGTAACACCCCTTGTAGCTCTTCCCTTTGTGAGTCCTTCCCATCACCTTTGCTCAACAGGTTTCCCACTGTCTTGCAGTCATTMATGCAGGAATCCTTCCTTTAACCTGCACTTTTTTGGCCCAGACCGGCAGACACTTCTGTGTGYTGGGATGTGAATGACCCCCAGATCACCTTTTCATTAGCTGGWGCAAAGCTTTGGCTTAAAACAAATTATTAGCAAGAAAAATAATGACACTGTGGATTATGTTTGACAGTGGAAGAAACCAGATGCCCCTCAGCCAGCAGTGTGAGGGACTGACAGCCTAATGGGGTTCCTGACCTGGTGTGTCATGGGACCACCCTGTCACGCACACTGGAAGGGGAGCAAGTTCCTGTCCATGAGATACCCAGGTAAGATCCTCATTCAGCCCCTGACCCAGCCAGAACCCACCCTGCCTGTCTGTCCCCATCCCTCCATCCTTCCCTCTCTTCCAGGTTGAGATAAAGAGCAGGGAGGTCACTGTTGTCTGCTGCCATGGGCAGAGCAGGTTCACCTTGGGGAATAGAAGTTAATTTATTGTCAATCAATTATGCGTTCGATTCACATTTTGGAAACAAACAAACCCACCCAGGCATTTTCACACCTGGGGAAAGCAGCTCCCCTCCTCTTTGCCAGGCTCACTTTCAGCAGCTCTCTTGCTCCCTGTTGTCACTGCAGGTGACACTCAGTGCGCTTGTGGAAGCAGCAGCTGAAGGCAGGGGCAATGGAGGGGCTCTGTCCCGGAGGAGTTTTCCACAGGTGGTGCCTTCCATGGCAGTGGTCCATTCAAAGGGTGCATGTTCCACCATGGAGCATCTTTTCATCCTCCTCCTCCTCTGAATACTGCACAGACTGGAGCAGTGTCTGAGTAACACCCCTGCCTTGGAAACCATCCTACTAGCACAGGATGACTCGGGCTGGACAAAATCTCAGCAGATCTCTAGTCCAGCAGTCTGCCCAAAGCAGGGTGAGCCCTGGGCTCAGACCAGGTTACTCAGGGCTTGAAAACCTACAGGTCTAAGGCTGGGTCCACTGCTTGGCTGTTCCAATGTTTCCCCCTCACAGGCAAACAGCTACTCCTGCCCTAAACCCCCATTCCCTCCTGAATTTAGATTACAAATGAGAGGGTCAGGAAAGCTTTTGAGGAAGCTCATAATTTTTTGGCAATTTGCTGGCTCTGGCCTGTCATTCACTTTTGTGACATTTACCTGCTGGCCCACAGAATACACAGGCTCAGCACAATGTCCTATCGCTCACMAGGTCATGTTCTTGGTAAGGTTCCAGGACCAAAGCTTTGTGCCCAGGCTTAGAAAATGATCAAATCCYTCACTTGGAATGTTTTCCCAGCTCTGGTTTGCTCTCATTGCTCCTCTGGCTTGAGGATGACCCTTCCCTCTGCTGCTGGGGCTCAAGTCCTTGCTCACAGCAGAACTTGCTCTTCCTGCACACCACAAGTGGACATGCGTGGAGGCCCCTCAGGGTCACTGGGGTGACTTCCCTGGAGTGTTCAGAGCTGTGACACGGATTCTTGGAAGCCCTGGGAGCTCATGGACAGCTGTGGCCATTGCTTTCCTGGGCTTCCCGCACAACCTGGGGCCATGGCATGATGCCAGGAGTGGGAAAAGCACTGATGTGAGATAAATGGACACAAGTCACCTTCACCGGTGACATTTGTGTCTTCACTTGTGGGGCTGACTCAGAGCAGGAGCCGGCTCAGAGGGATGGCAGTGAAAGTCCACTGCCACCACTTGGTGTCATTGCTGTCCCAGGCTCAGTGACATGCTCCCTGTTGTGCTCACTGGCACAAGACACTCTCCTGCTGTGTCCTCCCAAAGACATCAGGCCYCACGTTGGGGTGCTGCCTCCTCTGAGCTGCTTGGAGACCTCTCTTCCACAGGACACAAACAAGGCTGGAGTGAGGAAGGAAGGCAGAGAGGCAGGAAGGGAAGCTGGCTGCCATCAGGAAGCAAAACAGTCWCCTAAATTCCGTGGCCATCTCCTGTGTTCCTCTAGGGAAAGCTCTTCTCGTCCTGATTTGGACATCAAACCCTGACCTGAYCAAGGTAWACCYAGCCAGGACAAAGGCTGGGACAYTGAGGGGCTGGAGTGTGTCCAGAGAAGGGAAMGGAGCTGGGGAAGGGTMTGGAGCCCCAGGAGWGGCTGAGGGAGCTGGGGAAGGGGCTCAGCCTGGAGCAAAGGGGGCTCTGGGGGGACCTTGTGGCTCTGCACAASTCCCTTACAGGAGGGACAGCCAGGGGGGTYGGGCTSTGCTCYAGGGAACAGGGRCAGGACAAGAGGRAACAGCCTCAGGTTGGGCYGGGGGATGTGCAGGTTGGGTATCAGGAGGAATTTTTCCACGGAAAGGGTGGTCAGGCCTCAGCAGGGGCTGCCCAGGGAGTTTTGGAGTGCCCATCCCTGGAGGTGTTCAAGGAGTACCTGGACATGGCACTCAGTGCTTGGTCTGTTTAACAAGGTGGGCATTGATCACGGATTGGTCATTGGTCATCACAATGGTCTCAGTGACCGTGTGATTCTGTGACAAGGGATACAAATGCCTTTTCCTTATGACATGACCCACCAGCTCACTTTTCCCTATCCCACACCATCCTCTGGAAAACTCAAATGCCACAATGGGCTGGTGAAAGGACACTGAGGGTGGTGGGACTGTCACACATTAGAATACGTATTTAGCAAAGGCCATCAACTCCTCAATAAACACCAGTTGAGCTGGCCCTGCCCAATACAGATCTTTTGGTACAGCAGAAAGGGATGAAGTTCCTGCAGTCCACATAAAATATATGCTGGAGAAAACAATCTGGGTTATTCCTGCCTCAGGCAAAGGCAAACCCATCTGTGTGATTCCTTTTGCTCAAGGACCTGGGTGCAGTTTGTGGGTARTGCTGGAGGATTGGAAAGGCCAACGTGTGCCTCAAGGGGATTTGATATGGGGTGAGAACAGCCAAAGAATTCAATTGCATGAAGTTAGTTGGTACATAATGCTGTGTACCATCWCTTCTAGGGCACTTTGATGTGCTCCTCATCCCACTGGGCACCTCACAGCACTGTCAGGATCTGAACCTGGCTCCCCTCTGGTCATCACATTTGCAAAGGATGAACTTGGATGAAACTGAGCAAGCGCAGTGGTGATGGAGCAAGAACTGGCATTAAAATGGAATAATCTTTTGCTGCCCTGAAAGACCGATGGAACCCAAAGTCCTGGTCAAAATGAACACAATGGACTTTTACAGGAATAGTCCATCAACTGAGGGAATGAACTSTGTGTGTGTATCCATCAGAGCGCAGGGAAAGGTGATGGGGTACTGGGAAGTGTTGAAYCTGGCACGCCATCAGTGTCAGGATAAGAAGTGAATACTGCCCTAGTTTTTCTGGGAGAGAGTTAATTTTCTTCTCCATAGCTGATCCAGGGCTGTGGTTTGGATTTGGGATGAGAATAATGTTGAGAGCACAGGGATGTTTGAGCTGTTGCTGAGGTTACTCCGAATTAAGGACCTTCCACTGTCCTATGCTGTGCCAGTGAGGAGCTGCCCAGGAAGCTGAAGGAAGCATGGCCAGGACAGCTGAGGGATATTCCCATACCACAGAACATCATATCCCATATGTAAACTGTGGGAAATTGGCCAGGAGCCTCCAATTGCTCTCAGTGGCAGCCTGGGCATTGGCCAGCAGATGGGCAGCATGAACTGTGCACCCTGGTTTCCCTTGGGTGTTCTTTTAACATTTTTTTAAAATTGCAGCTATTATCATTAGTAGTATGAAGCATCACTGTTATTATTGGTATTTTCATATTTTTGTGATCTTTCAGTTATCAAACTGTTCTTATCTCAACCCACAGAATCCTCTTCCTTTTTTTACTTGTGGTAAAACCTTTCATTGTATCAGGTCTTTGGCTCTTGGCCGAGGCTTAAAGAAGGGATTCAACTAAAGATGAGCAGAGAATATGCTCTGGTAGACAGTAAGAGATTTGGTACTTCTGTGGGAGCCCCAGCAGTTCGGGATTCATCTCTCACTGGAGCAAAAGTTCTTCAGTTTCATTTGAAAATGAGAAGGGGCCAAACTTCCTGGACATACCAGCTTGTTCCACGGCTCTGGTCTTCAGAGGAAGCTTTTCTCCTCACCCTGTTTCTCATCCCAGGAGAAATCTGAGCCTTCTGGGGYTGGACATTGCTCCAGTGTTGCTAGCCCTAAGCCAAATCTTCCCCCAAAGGATGTGCTTGCCCTGGCCTTGCTCTGGACTGGAACTGTGCTTCAGCAGCTGCAGCGTGAACCTCACAGAACGTGGAGCCCTGAAACCCTGAGTGTTCTGCTGTGAATAACCCAGGACAAGAGGCACGGGTGCTTGACCTCTCCAGGAGGTCTCAGGGCTGTTCCAAAGTCCTGCTCCGGAGATGTTCTTACAGCGTGTGTGCACCAAGTGCTGCTCCTTGGAGCAAGAGAAAGGCATCATCCCTGTTACAGACCCACAAAGTCTTCTTTTGTGGGCTTTTTTATCGGATGGAAACAGCTCTAGAGCAGCAGGGATAAAAMCAGCCATGGGGTTGGATGACCCCAGGAGTRGCCCCATGGGACTCCCAAAACCATCAGGGCATTGGGGTCCAGTGAGAGAAGGTCCAGCACAATCTCACTGCCAGTTTCTGTTTGTTTCTCTTCATTTTTAACCTCCATAGGGGGTTGAGAAGAAGACAAAGACTACAACAGGAATAAGGTTTTCATATATTTGTTGGTTCTTGGGGCTCATGGTGTATGAAATACAGTGAGCAGGATAGACCTGACCCAGCGATGGGAAACTGCACTGGTTACAGCTCATGGTCCTGCTGGGCTGCAGAGGAAGGTGCTGTGAACCAGCTCCTGCCATGCCCACCAGCCAACCTTTGGACTCCTTGTACAATGTTGAGAYTGTGCCAGGAACTGCAGAGCTGCAGAATTGCCATGTAATTGATGGATTTGATGAAATATGTGTAGGTCAGCACCACCACAGTGAGGTGTTTTGCTGCTGTGGGAAGCCAAGCCAAGCAGTAATTCAGGGAAACCTTCCTGAAGGAGCRGGCAGAGGTGGATGCACCAAGACCCCTTCCTGGAGTACCAGGGAGGAAATAAAAAGAATGAACTTCGGACACCCTTTTCTTTCCATTTCCTGCTCTCACTGTTCCCAAGCCTTGTTGACATCCCCCAYCCTCCGATGTTCCAAGGAACACCTTTGCCTTCAGGAGTGAATCTGTACCTATCCCAAGCATCTTCAAGCCAAAAACAGCAAAAACTGATCCAGGTGGTGCGGGTGATGGAGCCACCAGCCTCCAGCATGGCTCAGGAAGCAGCTCCAGCCTGGCTGTGCTGCTGGTGTAGGAAGCTCCTCCAGGACCTCAATCCAGGTGCCATGGGAAGGGATAAGGGAACTCCCAGCAGGGCAGGAGGACTTGTGGGAATATTTCCTTGGGACTTKGGACAAGGGGAGCTCTGTGTCTTTTGCCTGGGAACGTGTGTGTGGCAGCCCTAGAGCCATGTTTTTCATGAAGGGCCAGCTTCCCAGCTCCCGGCCATGTGTCCTTTCCCTGSAAGGATGGGAGACTTGTACCCTGAAAGGTTTTAGGGAMCCAGCTCTGCTGKCARGTCTGTGAGACTATGGTRAGAGAAACAGGGCCTTCAGCCTCAYGTGAGTGCTGGAGGGTGAGTGCTGAAGGCCTTCAGCTGAGCCCCTCACTCACAGCAGGACTGTCACCAACTGCCAGACTGTCCCAGGGTGATGTGTGGTGGGACAGCAGCACTGGGTGGGACAAGCACTGAACGTCACCCATCGAAAATCTTGTGACACCCGAGTGTGCCAGAGAGTGTGCACGGGAGGGAGACCTGGCCAACCCCAAATCTTCCACCACAATGTTCACTCCTCTGATCAGAGATCTGGAAGCTCACACCCCACAGGAGGTGGTGTGAAGGGATTCCAAGGCTGGCAGGGTGATAAAAGACAGAGGAGTTCCCATGGAAAAATATTTATTGCTTACAATTGGSCTCTAATGCCAGGGATTACAACACAAAGCTTGGCTCTAAGCTGCAGCCAGGGATGAAAGTGCTAATTACCACGTAGTGCATCATTAACAAGCCCCAGCAAAGACAGGAAAAGTTCAACTCCCTGATGGTTACATCAAACTGGCAGGAATGGGTATTGTGTGTGGGGACAGGGTTCCCTAAGATGGRAAGGTAAAATCCCTGATGGGATGATCCCAAAGCTAATGCAGAGGCTGTCAGAATTGGAGCTGGTGCCACATCCCCACCAGACAGCTCTGCAGCACATCTCTGCACACAGATTCCCCTGCACCTCACCCTTGCTACCCTCTATTTACATTTTTTTAAACAACCCCTGGGGAGGGATTCAGCCTGGATAGGATCAGTCTGGGACTTGAGGTGAAATGGCAAAGTCTTTGGCCCAAAAATGCCTTTATTTCCTGCTGGGCATGAGTGAAACTTGTTTTTACCTCCTTCTGCCATGGGAGTAGGCAGMCAGCCAGCCCATTGACTGGGATACAAAAATAAATATCCAGGGGGTGGCTGTGCCAGTTTCAGGGGAAGACCCCAAACATGGGTCAGGAGAGTGTTTCGGCCACGCTGGTCCCGCTCAGCATCAACACAACTTTCTTCAGCCAACCAAAATGCCCAAGTACAAGGGCAAACCCAAAATGCTTGAATTTCCACGATCTCCACACCGTGGTCAGCTTACCAACCTGAGCATCTTCTGCACAAGGGCTGGGAGCACCTTTAGAGTGGTGCCTTTCTGCTGGTCCCCTGTGCCAGTCACCGTGCCACCTTGGCCAGTGACCGGCAGCTGAGCYAGGACCTTGCCAGGGAAGCTCCCCTGAGGCTGGAGAGAGCAGAAGGGGCAGCGAGGAGGCCACAGCCCACTCTGGATGATCTCTGTTGGGAATCTTCCCCAGGCAGTGCAGGTGAGGGCTTTGAACCCTCGGCTCTCGACCACCACARTCCAGAGAAGCCTGGCAGCTCCAGGGCCTTCCTGCCGTGTGGAARTGGACTTTTCGCTGTTCTGCAGGAAAAGCCAAGGAGAAGGCAAAYCCCGTAGCTGCCCTGCATGCCCTGGGGCTCAAAGGAGTGCCGGAGCGGCCGGTCCGCTGTGGGTTAGGCTGGATGATCCAACCACCTTTGGAGGCGGGCGCTCTGAAAAACACTGGGACTAACACAGCCGTGACTCCGTGCCAGGCTGGCTCCTCGCCCGCAGCCCTCGGCAGGCAGCATCTGGGCTCATCCCGGCTCATCCCGGTGCTTCCTGGCCCTTCCCGGCTCATCCCGGCGCTTCCCGGCYCCTCCATCGCCGCAGATCCCCGGCCGGGCGGGCACAGAAGAGGTAGGCTCTGGATGGGGAAGGGCGTTGGGTGTTTCTGCTGCTGTGGAGATGGTCCCTGCTCCCCGGGGATGCCGATCAGCCCTGTCACAGCGGGAGGGTGAGCGGGCCAGGCGCTGCAGTAAAAACAAAATTCGGTTTGCCAAGTAGCGCCCACCGGTACCCGCAGCTGGGCCCTGGGTGTCTGTCACACCCCTGCCAGGGACGGGCAGCTTCTCTGTCCCCTCGGGGTTATTCCTGTTTTTCCTGGGACCTTCCCCGTTCCAAGGAGCACCCAGCCGGTGTTTGTGCGGTGATTCACCTGGAGCCAGGCTGCTGGACAAAGARCTGAACCGGGGAGGGAGCACAGGGAAGGCTCCGGGGATGGAGAWCATGCAGAGGTGGGGAGTGAACAGCCCAGCGGTGTTTGCGTGCCTTGCTGCCCCTCTTTGGGGACAGCCCGAGCATTGCAGCAGATGCCCTGGTGGCTCCAACCCAGCTTTGCTGTGGGCTGTGCCCTGGGAAAACAGGGCTCTGGTGRGAGATGCCTGAGTGCGTGACCAGTGTGGAATTGCAGTGGGGTGCACGCACAGCCGTGCCCGGGACAGGCTGAGCGCTGCTTCCATGGAGAAGGCTGGGTGGGGTTCAAGCGTGGATTTCTCTCCGCTGTCTCTCTAGGTGCCAATTTCCAGCCTTTCCAGGCAGCAGAATGACGCTGTGGAATGGCTCCTACCCCTTCTACCCTGGAGCCAATGTTTGCTTCCCCTTTGACACCAGCCGGGCTGTCATTGTCACCATCTTCCTCACCGTGCTGGTCACGTTCATCATCATCCTGCCAGGGATCCGGGGCAGGGGGGTAAGTGGAGGGGCAGGGGCAGATCCAGACTTCTGGTCGCTGCCTGTGCATCCCACATTGTCCCTCCTTCCAGCCTCAGCATCGCTCGGTGAGCAAACCTGCCCGCAGCTTCATGGCCAGGGCTCTGGGATCTCTGGAGAGCCACGGGGCTGAGCTCCAGCCCATCCCAGAGACACCGAGCTCCTGCAGCCCAGATTTCTGAGAGAGCTAGATCTGAACTTGGCTGGATTTCTCTGTGAACAAGCCTGAATGATTTCACCATAGTGGAACAGCAGGGTGAGGCTCAAAGATTTCACGCCAGCTTCCCAGAAACCTCAATAAAAGCAGGAGGTGTGTGCCAGGCATGTCCCAGCACTGCTCGCYGGGCTCTGTGTGGCTCTGTGAGCCATGCTGGGTGCTGGTTGTGTGCCTGGCTTTGCAGCAGGGCTGCCTGAGGGGATTATGTACCCCAGGGGACACTACAAATGCCCACTTACTCCTTCTGTGTGCAGCTGTGGCCAGCTGTCAACATGTCCAAACACATGAGGTTTGGATAAGTGTGGAAATTCCAGCTGAAGGCTGCTAGAGAGGATGTCTCCACCCTTCTTCCCAAGAAAGGGGATTTCACAGCTGTCTGCAATGGGTTGTTTTGATCTTCTTGCCCTGCCTGGATCTCCCTGCTGCCTCCTGCCCGCCACGGCAGGGATGTCCTGGCCACATGTGTCTCCCATGCCACCCACCCACAAAGCACATRGGGTGAGGCCCCAGGGGAGGGACASCTCTGTTTCTCACCAKCTGMTGTTTCTGAATTAAATGYTTGGTGCTGRGATCCCCATGGCAAAATCTGACTGAGACCTGTCCCTCCACTCTGCTCACCCTTTGCAGCGTCTCTTCTTGTTCCTGCGCTTGGTGTTGGGACTCTTCGTGGGAGCAGTGATCCTCAGTAAGTGCTGGGATCCTGGGGAGCTCATGGATGCCTGGGACATGGAGGAGAAAGGTGGAAAGGGTGAAGGGATCAGCTGAGGGCCAAGTGCAGCCCGGAGGATGAGTTCATGGCGAAGACAGACACACATCTTGTGTCTGGGACCTGGCTCCAGCAGTGGGTGGAAGGTGCAGGTACCCATCTGTCTCCTGCCTGAAGACTGATGGTCATGTCCAGGACAGTCACCAAAAGCCCTCCTCACCAAAAACTATCAGGAGATTCAGACAAATTGGCAGCTGCTCAGATGAGGAGCAGTGCCCAGACAGTGCCCACACATCAGCCCCAATCCCTCCAGGGGCAGGATCTGCACTGGGGCTGGGGAGAAACCAACCCTGGGGGCCTTTCATGGTCATGGGTTGGGGTTGATATTGKGGAAGGACACACAGGACTTGTGCCCCTTGGGGCTCTCAGCCCTGACCTCGTCACGAGGTGGGTGTTGCTGACTGTCCTGGCAGATGCTTCCAGCCCTGGATGTCTTGCTGCCAGGCTGTAACTAACCCTTGAAGTCTCCACAGCTGTCCAGTTCACCAGAGACTGGGAGAGCGGCTGGGTGCAGGCAAACACCTCCTACAAGTCCTTCAGCCRTGTCCAGGTGARCGCGGACATYGGGCTGCACATCGGCCTGGCRGGGCTGAACGTCACACTCMGGGGTGMGTGATGTCCCAGCAGGAGGGGACTGGTGCAGCTTTGGCACCTGGGGGCATCTGGGGGCACCTGGGGGCTGTGGCCCTGTACCAGGGAGCCTCGGAGCTGCCTCCATGCTGAGAAAGGTCCTTGGTGTTCATCCTCTGCAGGAAACCCGGTGAGGCAGATCAACGAGACCATCGACTACAACGAGCACTTCCCCTGGAGCTTCGGGGCGGATTACGACCGCAGCTACAGCGAGGGGCTGCACAAGGGGCTGCCCAGCCCCATCCTCTACGTGGCAGAGAAGTTCAGCACGCAGAGCCCCTGTGCTGTGCACGGGCAGTACCGCATCGCYGGACACTAYRCATCCCTCACCCTGTGGTGAGTTACAGCCAGGGCTCACCTCCAGCTGCAATGGGGAGAGCCAGGAATAGGACAGGGAGCTTGATGAAGCCACCCTTGTCACCATAAGGCTGTGCTGAAGCCTCGACTTCCTGCAGAATCTGGGCTGCTTGTGCTTCCTGGCCTGTTATGGATTYATAAGATTGTGAGATTGCAGAGTGGTTTGGGTTGGAGGGGATTTGTGTTGCTCCATCCYCTGCCATGRCCACARACACCTTCCACTGTCCCAGGSTGCTCCAAGCCCCGYSCAACCCAGCCTGGAACACTGCCAGGGATCCAGGGGCAGCCACAGCTGCTCTGGGCACCGAGTCAGGGCCTTCCCACCCTCACAGGGAAYAATTCCTTCCCCATATCACATCTGTCCCTGCCCTCTGGCAGTGKGAGCCATTCCCTGTGCCCTCTYCCTYCATCCCTTGTCCCCAGTCCCTCCCCAGCTCTCTTGGAGCTCYTTTAGCCACTGGAAGGGGCTCTGAGCTCTTCCCAGAGCCTCCTCTCCTCTCTGARCASYCCSAGCTCTCCCAGCCTGGCTCCAGAGCAGAGGGGCKCCAGATGTCAGAGCACTTATGTGCCCTCTGCCTTGATGTACAAAACTGCAATCTGAGAAAAATTRTTCTTAATTTAAGGGAAAACAGATGCAACTGTGAGGCTCATGGTTTGAGATCTCTCCCAAGGACCAACACAAAGAGTCCCAGTCCAGACCTGCTGTCAAGGGTCTTCTTTTGCATGTCCAAAAGGGGACATGCTCCTCCCATGCTCCGAGGGGAGCAGGGGGAACCACCAGGAGGGTGCTCACAGCTCATCTCTTGGTGTGAAGCTGAGAGCCCTTGTGTGAGCTGTGATTGTGGGGTCTCAGAGCACCCCCACARATCTCAGAGGTGGTGGGAAAGGCCCTGCAGTGAGTTTTGCAATTTCCCCATGGATGTAGGCTCCAGGTCCCTGAACCCATGTCCTTTTCAGTTTTCAGGAAAAATAATTATCCCTACTTAAACATTCCTGTATTTCAAGGCAGAAAAATTCACAAAAACTTCTCTTTTGTTATTTTTCTTGGAATCAGAAATATTTGTTGGGCTCGCCTCTCCACAGAGCTAAACCCAAGCTCCAAGCACAGGGTAGGGCCAGCAGCTGGGTGCACTCCAAGTGCTGAATCAGGCACAGTGGACACAGCTCATGGTGCAGTTCTCCAAACAAAGGTGTCCCTAGGTGCCATTGTCCCTCTGAACACGTGGGAATTGCCTGGGGTGGCCAGTTGTGGACAATCACAGGGATCAGGAAAAAGGTTACTCTGGAGGGGCTGTTGAGATCTGATTATCAGAGAGATGCCTCTGTCCAAAYTAAKGTGCAAACAAGACCAATATGCTGGAGTCAATGCATGGACTTTATGTCACAGCAAATGTGAGACAGACAAAGACAATAAGAAATAGAAAAGGAAAGGGGCGGGGGAGAGAAAGAGTGAGACAGGTAAAGTACAAAGATATGACCACCCATGGAACCAGACAGTGTCCTGTTGATCCTTTTCTTCTGTTCTTCTCAGTGGTGGGAGTCCCACGATAGCCAGAGCTTGCTGCAGGCTCAGGTTTAGGTGGGAACACACCAGTTCCTTCCCTGCAGGGGGACTTTCACCCTTGGACACCTGGATCTGTTCCATCACTGCGGGTCAGCTGTGTTCCCCCTGCCTCTTGGGGACAAACCTGGCCCCAGCAAAGCACCTCCTGCCCCTGCAAATGGCCAAATGTTTGAACTATTAAACATCAGCATTTTAGTCTCTCACGGAAACCTCCAGAGATTTCCACTCCAGTTCCACACCCAGGGCAGGGCTGATGCCAAAGCCATRCCAAGGTGCTTGGGGGCTTCAGGAAATTCAACACTGAACATCCGCAGGTGTGGACATCCCTCTCCACTGCTGTGGGGTCTGTCCCACAGCTCCACCATTCATGTCATTACAGAACTGTTTGGGTTGTGAGGGACCCTGTTAGATCAGGCTGTCCAGGTATCTGCTGAAGCAAGGCCAGCTGGACGGCGTTGCCCAGGGCTTTGTCCCTCCATTGGGACGTGGGGAGGAGACCATGAGCAGGAACTCTAAGCCTGATGTTTTTGGCTGTTTTTGTGGTCMTTTTGCAGGCTGGCCTTTTGCACATGGCTCCTTTCCAGCCTGCTCTTCTCCATGTCCATCCTGCTCTAYGGGGGCCGCATGCTTCTGCTCACTGCTGCACTGATCCTCTTCTCGCTGCTCTTSTTCTTCACTGCGAGGAGCACCCCCAAGTGCCCCATCCAGTTCGGTCCAATTTCCTTGAGAACAGCCTATGGTGAATCCTTTTGGCTGACATTAGCCACAGGTGAGTGCTCAGCTTKCTCCCAGGGCTTTTCTTCTCCATCCATACAGAGATGATGCCCAAATGCTGCCTCATTCCTTCTTCCCCCGTGGCTGGTCACAGAAAATGATAATTTTAGGTTAGAAGATTTTAGATAAGAATTATCAAGGTTGTGGAGAAAAAGAGATGAGCAGTCAAGAGATTTRAATGTCTGAAGTTATCTGCTGGATACAGATTCCCTCTGCCTTTCAGGACCTGCCCCACATCCGGGCAGCAATTGTTTCCTTTGATCAAACCAAAATTTTGCGTGTTACAACASCCACCTCCAGGGAGAGCAGCCCTTTTCCAGGAGCAGGTGGTAATCAATACTCCCTGGTTACTCGACATTCTCAGGCTAAACAAGCCTGGGCTCTCCAGCCTTCCCCTGTGCCCAGTGGGCTGCAGCCCCAACTCTGCCCCAGCTCATCGACCTCTCTTTTGTACCRGAGAGCCCAAAGTGATCTTAGAATTGAGATGGGGAAAGGGAAATGAACACCTTCCCTGAGCWGCTGGGCCATGTCACATGTCCCTGGTGTCCAGCTGGGCCCGGGTGGAGCTGGCACCCAGCGGTGTCACTGTGTGTCCCCGTGCATTGCAGGGCTGCTGTGCCTGTTCCTGGGGCTGGGCATCCTCATCCTCAACGCTGTGCAGCCACAGAAGCTGAAGCTCCTCTTCAGCCTGGACAAGAGCAGCGAAGGGGGAGTGTGGGACAAGCCCTGCCTGTCAGCTGAGCCTGGCTCCTCTGCGCAGGATGTGCTCGTGGTCCCCCTGGACCAGCTCTGCCAGGTGGCAGTCACCAAGCTCTGAGGCACGGGGGATGCAGGGCAAGGCCTGGAGATGTTGCTCCTGAATTCACAAATCCATCAGAAGCCCTTCCCAGGTGGGAAGAGACAGGACAAGAGCCGGGTGAGGAGAATATCCAGAGCTGGAAAGGTGTCTGAAATACAACAGTTGGCCTTTTTGTTGTTGTCATTGTTGCTTCATTGACCARCWGCTGGAAGACCTTTGTGGGGAAGAGAACCCATCCCCATTCCTGACTGTGCAGTTCCAGACCACAGGTTGCTACCTTCCCCCAAAATCCATTCCAAAAAAAAGGCCCCCAGGATACAGAGATTAAATCTGAGCAAACTGGGGAGAAACCAGGAACTGCATACTCATAACCCTAACCATAAACCCAAACACTGACCCTAAGCTTAACCCTAACTCTGACCCTAAACCTAACCCTAACCCTGACCCTAACCCTAACCCTAACCATACCCTAACCCTAACCCTAACCATACCCTAACCCTAACCAATGGAGAAGCAGAGCCCCCACAAGAGCCTCCCAACCCTGAAGACCCTTGGGAAGTCCCCCTGCCCTTGGAATGCTGTTCCCATCAGCAGTCAGGAGGTGCAGATGGAGCTGCGGTCCCCAGGGTGCCCCGTACCCAGCACCTCCTCTTGGAACAGGAGGAGCAGAATTCAGTAGGGTGCTGGGGGTACCAGAGCAGGGGGAAGAGAAGGAGGGGAGGAGGTGGGAACAGAGCTGGAACTGTRCCTTGGAGATCAGCTGTGACCAGTTAGGGAGAGGTGCACCTCTGCTCTGGGCTCCTCCTGCTCAGCTGTGGAAATATTTGTCAGGGGCAAGTGACACCRAAATCCTTCATGCCCAAGGCAGCCACCCACACCTGGCTGCTAGCAGCCAGCTGGCTCCATGCCCACAAGGCAGGGAGGATGCTTGCTTCAGCTTTGCACCCCTTTACCTCTCCGAGGGTTTCACAATTTCCTTTTTTGTTTTGTGCTCGCTTGTTTTCACCTCTGACTCAATAAAGTAAGTTTGACCTGGTCTTTCACTTGTCTGGTGACAGAGGTGTCACTCTGAGGGCTGTTGCTGTGATGTGGTGGCCACAGGGAAGGGACAAAGAAAAGGCAGAGCCCGTTGGTGATCCTAAAATGGGGCACCTGACCTTGGCCAGTCAGTGCAGGGTGATGAAGTCGAGTCAGTGCACCCTAAATCAGGTACTGGAACATCCCCAGCAAACCAGCAGGGGGAATGCAGGAGGGCTTTAACTCCTGGCATGCCCCTGAGCATTTGGGAGGTTTGATGGGAGCAAACTGCAGCCCCACAGAGAGGTTTGCAGAGGAAGCACCACGGGCCAGGCCCTCTGGGGAGGAGGAGCTCAGCCATGGCATCCTCCACCGCCCCATTTTTGTGGACCCAGAGGACCCAGCAGGGCTTGGAGCTCCTTAGGCTTGGSAGATCTCAGCCAGGAGGTTTGACATCCATCAGGAGATGCTCCAGCCTGCASATGGATTGGTCCAAGGTGCAACCTRGCAGAAGTGACCTTAGAAGGGCCCTACAGCACTTTCCTAAGAAACCAGCCCCCAAATGTTCACAGCTTTCCAAAGCCGACGGGTTTTAGTAAAGTTTTATTGAAAATAATTCCTGTGCAGATCAAACCACATTAGTGATACACGAGCATCATCTGACAGAAATAGGTAACTTAATAGCAAGGGTCTTTTCTCAGGAAGAAAAGTAAAAATACTGAAATGAAGTATTTTACAATTAATGGGAATGAAAGTGCCCAGGTTTCCAGCATTCACATGCAGAATCCCAGAATAGTTTGGGTTGGAAGGGACCTTAATGCTCATCTTGTTCCACCCCCAGCTATGGCAGGGACACCTTCCACTATCCCAGGGTGCTCCAAGCCCAAATGTCCAACCTGGCCTTGGGCACTGCCAGGGATCCAGGGGCAGCCACAGCTGCTCTGGGCACCCTGTGCCAGGGCCTCCCCACCCTCACAGGGGACAATTCCTTCCCAATATCCCATCCATCCCTGCCCTATGGCAGTGGGAGCCATTCCCTGTGTCCTGTCCCTCCATCCCTTGTCCCCAGCCCCTCTCCAGCTCTCCTGGAGCCCCTTCAGGCCCCAAAAGGGGCTCTGAGTTCTCCCTGGATCCTTCTCGTCTCCAGGTGAGCACCCCCAGCTCTCCTAACCTGGCTCCAGAGCAGAGGGGCTCCAGCCCTGCAGCAGCTCCGTGGCCTCCTCTGGGCTCTCTCCAGCAGCTCCAGCTCCTTCTGCTGTTGGCCCCAGGGCTTGGGCAGCTCTGCAGGTGGGGTCTCACCTGAATGGGGCAGAGGGGCAGAATCCTCCCTTCCCCTGCTGCCCAGCCAGTCCAAGTGTGCTCCTGCTGGGCAGGGATAACTTCATTCTACACTCTCCTTCCTTTCCTGTGGCATCTTTTTGGCCCACACTAGGTTCATTTTGTCTAATACAGGCCCAAATTTGAAAAGTCCAAAAAAGAACCACATGACCACAACCCCCACAGCAAACTCCATGGTACTTTGTTTCTGGAGCAGATTTTTTATTCCAGCTCCTGCAGCATCCTGGCTGCAGAAGCTGGATCTGTGCCTAAACCTCAAAATGTCATGTTTGGGAAGGAAATGAGCAGGTTTAATCTCTGGTTTTTGGACTGGCAGAGCTTCCAGGCAGAAATGTCACTCGTGAGCTGTTTCTCAGTTTCAGGGGGACACACCATGGGACAATCCCCATGCTGCTGTGGCAGGGCGTGGAGCAGGAGGGACATTCCTGCTGGGACAGGGATCCCCAGGAGCTGTGACTGCTCTGATGGCARCCTGCCAGCACAGCCTGACCTTGCCACAGGGCACCAGCAGGGAGATGCAGTCTGTGAGGGTATTTCCCAGCAAGGACCTACCCCAGAGCGGACTCCAAAGGCAGCTGGAAAAGGGGGGAAAGGGGTCTCTGGAGACATCAGGGAGAGTTTGTGTTCTGCCCTTTTGGGGGCACCTTCAGGAGAGGAGTGAGAGCCTTACTCTAGACGCTGTTGATTTCAGAGGGCTGAGGAGACAGGCCCTGGGTCACCAAGTGAAGGTTGGTGAACACCTCAGGCATTTCCTGGAACTCCTCTGCTTTGTCCTCACGGAGACCAAAGAAAGTTTTGAGCAGGTCCAGGTTGAGGTGGTGCATGGCCACGATGGTGGTCCCAGCCACAAAGCAGAGCAGGCCTGCAAACAAACATGCTCTCTGATTGGGGTCCTGCCCCTCCAGAATTGTCCCCACCCCCCTGCCAGAGGTCAATGCCTTTGCCTGTGGAAGGTGGCACACCTTCTATTGTATGAGCTGTTCTGAGCATTTTAAAACCCAGGCACAGGTCTGAAAAGCCAGGCGAGTGATCCCAGTGTCTCTGCACCTCAGGAACTGCAAATCCCTCCACTACCCTTGGGATGAGGATGGTGTTCTCCCTTTTCTCACCCCTCTCCCCATCTCTGCCAGGATCTACCTTGTCAAGACACAGGCTGGGGCTCTGGGGAGCTGCACTTCCCCCTGGGGCTCTTGCACATGSAGAGGGACACAGTGATTCCATCTGGGGCACCCATATGTCCTTACCAATCGCCAGCATGAGCCAGAAAGATCCCCCGTAGGCCACGTGCAGGGTGGCGGTCCCAATGTGGATCAGACACATCGGGGAGTTCCTCACGGTGGAGAAGGAGAGCAGAGAGAAGATCATGAAGGCCCCGGTGACCAGGAGCATGTATCCTCCGTAAACGAGGACGGGCATGGAGAAGAGGATGTTGGAGATGACCCACGTGCAAAAGGCTACCCTGGAGAMAAGAGAAGAACAACAGATGAGTTGGTCCCACTCCCAGGTACCTGATTCACTCACAGGTGGGCTTGGGAGGTCCCAACCCGCTCTGGACCACCAAGGACAGCAGCTCCAACTCCATCCATGGGATGGATTTCTGCCATCATCACCACATCACAGCAAGGACCTGCACCACATTCCCCTCGTCCTGTGTCCACCCTTGGTGGATTTGTCACACGGAGAGAACCAGGACTTCCTCTCTGCTCATCCCAAAGCGTGTGCAGTGCCTGGCAGGGACCCCTCCACGCACACAGCTTCCCTCCTGGCAGGATGCAATCTCAGCCATCACAGAGGCCATGGGGAAAGGCCCAGGACAAGCCCGGTGTGGCTGCAGCAGGGCGGGAGGGCTCACCAGAGCGTGGCCGAGGCGTAGTGTCCGGCGATGCGGTACTGCCCGTGCACAGCACAGGGGCTCTGCGTGCTGAACTTCTCTGCCACGTAGAGGATGGGGCTGGGCAGCCCCTTGTGCAGCCCCTCGCTGTAGCTGCGGTCGTAATCCGCCCCGAAGCTCCAGGGGAAGTGCTCGTTGTAGTCGATGGTCTCGTTGATCTGCCTCACCGGGTTTCCTGCGGGAGGGATGTGCTGAGGTCCTGCCGTGCCAGGACCAYGGGCACAGCAGGGTCCAGGAGCCCCCAGACAGACCAAGGGCCCCCACAGGGCAGCTGGACACCTCCTGGGGCCACAGCCACTCCAGAGCTCCAGATGGGACATCACTCACCCCTGAGTGTGACGTTCAGCCCCGCCAGGCCGATGTGCAGCCCGATGTCCGCGTTCACCCACACACGGCTGAAGGACTTGTAGGAGGTGTTTGCCTGCACCCAGCCGCTCTCCCAGTCCCCTGTGAACTGCACAACTGACAGGAAAAATCAAGCTGGGGTTAAAGCCGGGCTTTGCTGTGCTCGAGGGGAGAATCACGGGTGAGTTGGCAGCGTTCCCACCATGGCACTGGAAGGGAGTGTTGGAGGGCAGGAGTGCTGACTCAGCCACCAGGACGTGCCCCAACCAGCTCCCACACCCTTCAGATCTCAGGTCCTCCCCTTGCTCAGCATCCCCTCCCTGGATCCGGGAGCAGCAGAGCTCAGATCCCCAGGGATGGACATCACGACCTGATTTCTCCTGGGACATCCTCTCCAGGACTTCCCTGCAAGCTGCCACCATGGCAAGCAGCAGAGCAGCCAGGGACACGGCTCAGAGCTGAGCCTGTCAGCCACAGGAACTGCGGTGAGTCTCATTTCACACCTTCAGCTCCCTAAATCGCACTCTTAGGGTACAGTAAAGGTCACTGTCAAATAGAGGTGTGGAGAGGGGTGGGAAGTGCCATCACAGCTTGGACAGTCATTCCGTCTGGGAGAAAAAGGAAAATTTGAAGCATTTCTGATRTATGTTTTTTTGAACAAAAATCACTCTTTTGAAGCACTTCCATTTTGCAGTGGGCTTCATTTTCCGACAGAGAAAGTAAAGCCAATTGCTTGATCTTGAGCTGAACAAAACTTTCCTGAGAAAACATTCAGTTGCTGAATCAACTTGTGAGGGCACTGATCCAGTGGCAGCTCCACTGGAATGTTTTTTGGCTGCAGGGGTGAGTGTGCCCCGCTGCTCCCTGACAGAAACTCTGMCTCTGGCTTCAGAACAATTCGTTCCTGCCGTGTGCCCAAGCAGTGCAGGGCTGCAGCCTTGGCACGGAGCGGGGCTGGATGGATGGATCAGCTCCACGGCTGAATTGGGAGTCAGCCCTGACCTCCACCCCTCTGTCACCTCCAGCCTGGCACCGTGTTCTCAGGTGGCATCTCCCAGAACTGGAGATGCCCAGGGTGGCAACCCCATATTGGGATGGTCCCAGTCTGGCCTCCTGCTTCTAGAGCCTGGTCAAATCAGGGCTGAATCTTTTATGTTATCATTATCCCTGTCCCCTCAGCATCTTTCTCCTGTAATACATCTTGTGCTTCACAGCAGGAGGGTTTCTTTATTTTATGGTTAGGGCTGGTTTCCCTTGCCACCTGGCATCTTCTATCCGCTAAGTACATCTTTTTTCACTCATCCTGTTGCCCTGACTGAGTTGGAAATCCCACTGCCTGGTTTCCACCCCCAATTATTACAGAAGATTTCCTGGTTTTCATTGAATAAAATCCTCTCTTTCATCTCCTCCAACCTTGCTCCTCGGGAGGCTTCCCTTCACTGCCACGACCTTTGTCTTCCTGTATTTTATTCCAGCTTTCTCCTTCCACAGCCCTGCAAGGCTCCTCACAYGCTCCCAAGGTGCCTGACATAGCAGGGGGAAATAATGGAAAATCGGTGAGGAGGATTGTAAACACACTCAGCTGACGTGCAAGTAGGGTGTGGAAAAACCCATAGGTCTAGACTTGTGCATTGGAGAAGTGGAAGATCTGTGTTTAGACAGCTCAGAASCACCTCCTGAACAGACCTGAGATCCTGTCCTGCTACAGGAAGATCAGAATACATCAGTGAACTACACCAGCACGAATCCCTGAAATTCAGGTCAAAAAAAAAGCAGGTTTAGTGATCCTTTAGTGATCTGAGCTCCATGGCGCCTKTCCCTTCCCTGTCGCTGTCCAGGGCTGGTTTGGGGGTCCACTGAAGGGTGAGGTAATAAAAATCAACCTGCTCTTTGCATTTCATCCACACTTTTGTGGTTGTTCCTGCGCCCTGCCTGTGYTGGGTCACACTCACGGTTGGAGGGACACGGGGCTGTGCAGCCTGACAGAGCTGGGGCTGTTTGACTCAGACAGCAAAGCTCCCAGAAATAATTACGGGCAACTCAGCCCCAGGACCAGGGATGGAAAGCCCGTTTTGGGAAGCTGTGTGACTGCTTTGCAGAGCAGGGATAAGGTAGACCCCAAAGCAGCTTGGACCAAGCTGTGGCTGTGACCCCCAGCTCACATTGCCCAGATTCAGAGCCTCCCCCAGGGTTTAATGTGCCCCCAGACCCATGCCCGAGGGCTGCACAGCACTYACCGACAATCACCACTCCCACGAAGAGGCTGAGGAGAACGCGGAGGCTCCAGTACAACCTCTGCAGGGAAAGAGGCGGCGTGTCAGGCAGGCAGGAGCAGCCCCGGCTCTCCTCCTGCCTCGCCCAGAGCCACCCGACAGCAGCCAGGACAGGGAGCCCTGGGCAGCCCGGGATCACGCACCGCCCGTCCGCGGATGCCCGGGAGGATGAGCAGGAAGCTGCACGCCAGCGCCAGGAACACCACGATGACAATGACAGTGCTGATGTCGAACGAGGCAGCCTTCCTCTGCTGCGGGTAGAAGGGGTACACGCCATCCAGGAGAGTCATCCTGCGCCTCCAGGAGCCCGCGGGAGAGGCGCTCACAGCGATGCCTCCAGGCCTCGGTGGCTCAGGTGTGGAATAACCCGCAGAGGGATGAGGAAATGCGGCGCTGCAAGGAAACGGGCGGCTGAAATACTTCCCAGCAGAGAAGACGCCACCCAAAAGCCCTGAGTGCGGGAGAGGAGGTGCCTGGGGCAGGGCTCCAGCAGCCCGAAGAGCCTCAAGCCCCCGTCCTACTGCAGTGTGAGCCCCAAAACAGGAACCTGCTGAGCAGCTCCTGCCYGGACASAGCCGCGTCCTTCCCTCCAGCCAGRGYTTTCCGCTCTGTGGTGCACWCTTAGGGGAAGTCCCCAAGCCAGTGACCACCRCAGGATCCTTCAAAATTACAAGGAACCTCTTGTAGACCTCATGTTTTGTAAAAACATGGATTTCACAACAGCAAAATTATCCCCAGCCATGGGCCGGCGGTGCCAAACCCCACAATTCCCATTCCGGCTCGTTTCCTCCAAGAAGCTTTTCCCCAGAAGTGGCTGATCTGGTGAAGGAGGAAGAGGAAGGACAGGTGCTGTGCTCGGTCTGGAGGGGYCAGAAGCAGCCCCCAGTCCCGGGATGAGGGTCTAAAGAACGCACAAACASTGAGTGCATCCCAAGGCTAAAGAAAGCTGAATTATATAGGATTGAAAGGTGTGTCGTTCTCACAGATGACTCTGAACTCCCTCTGACACTCCAGTTCCAGCAAGCACCCACCTTTTCCCTGTGCCAGGTATTTTCTACAAAAACTGATTACATGCTTAGTGTTCTTGTTTTGCTTATTTAATAACCTCTCTGCATACAACTACCCCAGGAAGTTTGCTAAAGTCAGAGAATGCCAGAGCTAATCTGGCTCATGACTGGRCATCATTTTATTCTGTCCCTGTACAGAGGAGGTGATTTTATTCTCATTTTCCAAAAACAGTATTAATCATATTTTAAAGTAAAATCTAACCCAGAGCAATTCAGCCCCCCCCCAAAAAAAAGCTGATCCAAAATCCCTAGAAGTGAGTGGGTCACAGTAACTATCATAAACCGGTTTGCTTGGACAGCTGAATTGCTTTTCAATACATAAGCAATATTTGATTTGAGAATGATTTTCTGTCCAGTAACCCAGATAGTAACAAAAAATAGCTAAGAGTGTAATGGAGAACAGAATTTTACAATGGATCTGGACCTGACTCTGCTTTGACTCTGCTCCAGGCTAACAGAGCTATCGTGTGCTCTTACAAATTTTCTTTGGGACTATTTTGCAGTAAGAGTTTTGGATTATATTTCCTTGGAAAGCCAAACCTGGAGAAGGAAAGCTATAATTACYTGGCAGGCAGGAGCTATAGCTGATTCCTGATGCTACCAAAGTCCAGCAAAAATGCCCACAAAACAGTCAGAGCTGCTGCAAGAAAAGAAATAAATGAGCAGTTTAACCTAGKACAAATTAAATCTCAGTGGCTTGAATTCCATTTGTTTCCTGGAATCTTTGTCCAAATTTCCTATGAGATACMATGAAGCAAGGAAAGATTTCACCAAAACACAACTCACAGCTTAAAAAAATTAAAACCCAGAACATCACGTGGAGAGTGCTGCCTTGCTAAATATAAATTTAACTTGCAATCAGCACCAAGGGATGTTTGCATTTCTGTACGCTTTGCAACTTCTGGGACTTGTTTTGTAGTGAATTTCCAGGGAAACAACCCTTTTGCTGTCTGCCCCTCTTTCTCCCTTGGTTGCCCTTCACAGAAGACCAGCTCTTTGGCATTTTTGCAGTTTTCAAGTGGAAAAGTGGTGCCTATAGTTCACGGCAAGAGAAACAGAACTTGTTGCCCCTCGGAAAGCATCCTCACTGCTGTGACCTTAGAGTCCCTGTGATTTCCTCTGCTACAGTGTATGGGGTGGGGAAAAACTTGAAACATCTTCAAGGAAAGATCAAAAATTCAGCRGAAATACACAATTTCTCTTAYGWTTTAAAGTATTCTGGCCTTGCAGGAAAGAAAGACAAAGGAGACAGAAAGTTTGCCCAAACACCAGAGGTTTCTCCTTACAGAAACCCCATTTTCCTGCTCCAGAATGAATCGAGATAAACGGGGTATTTGGAAGCGTTCAGTCAAAAACTCGCGACGGCAGARCCAGCAGCAATCCTAGCTGGGTTGCTCAGGGTTGCAGGCCGGTATTTTCCAAAGAAAAAAGAGAAATCCTGTCCCCTGAAAACCGAATCGTCAGAGMCGCGATTGGCAGGTGGGAGGGAGGGGCGAGGGGGCAACCTCGCTGCGCTTTCCTGACCGTGTAAGAGGGCGGAGGAGGAGAAACAGGGGGTTAACTCCTGACGAGAAGCATCCTCCCCTCGCGATCCCTGCGAGCCGAGACCCCCGGAGCGGGG